AAACAAAGAGGAAGGAAAGCAGTTCCAAACCTAACATCAGGGAACACAGATTTATTTCTTCTCTCTTTACCAGTGAGAAAGTRAAGCTTGCTTGCTCTCACACACTTTCTTCTATTCTTGGTATTTTTTTGTGACTTTGGTCTTCAATCAGTCATCCTTGCTGTAAGGTTTTTTATTTTTTTAAATTTTATTTAGATAATTACMGATGGTCAGGGATGTCTTTGTCAGAGGAGTTCCTGGAATTAATAGCCTTATTTGATAAGACTGAGAGTTGCTGAACAGGGTCTACAAAAGATGGACTTGCTTGTAGTAGAAGTCCTGCTTTATCAGTAACTGTTTTTAAGAAWATCTATGCCAAAATATGTGTCATCAAATGTACCATTGGATCCAACTTCCCCAAATCAGTTTCATTTTTGTACTTTCTCTGAATGTACTTGTGGTTGTTACTTGTAAAAGCCCTACATGTCACAGAGTTTCTAGTGATGCCTGCGTTGTGAATGACCCTGTGATGTGGAGAAACAGGAGTCCCTCCCTTAGTAGAGTGATAAACACTGTGCAGATGCTGCATATGTTAATACTTTCATTAAAATACTGTTAATTGTGGTTTTCTGCATCTATTCCAATAAATATGGCAAAATATTTTTCAGAAGATTCCAATTCTATTGAGTAGCATACAAGCACAGAAGTCTGATTTTTTTTTTCTTCAAGTCAAAGGCTTGACACTAATTTAATACATTACAGAACACAGATTAGTCCTTCTATAAACTTCCTTTATGTTTATAAGCAAGTCACTTGAGTCAGACAGGGCATGCTCTCAACTCTGTTCTTACAATTTCAGATAATTATTCATTTCCTGGTTTTTCATACCCTTTGTTATAGTTTTCTCTACCAGTTCTCTATTCTATTAGAGTTAGACAAATGGTGTTTAAAAAAAAGTAATGTTTTTGTAAATAAAATTACCTTTAAAGGAATTGTCAAACTTTAGATCAAACATTTTTCAGCTGTTCTGTTGAAGGGGGCTACCTACCTACATGTATATAATATATGTAATATTTAYGTTGTTTTTATTACATAATACTATGTGAAGTGGTGTTATAGGTAAAGTTTTGTGTCCGTTACCTAAAAGGAGACTACAAAAAAGCTGGAGAGRGCCTTTTTACGAGGGCATTAAGTGATTGGACAAGGGAGAAGAGCTTTAAGCTGAAAGATRATTGGTTTGGATTGAATATGTACTGTGAGGATGGTGAGGCACTGGAACAGGCTGTCCAGAGAAGTTGTAGATGCTGCATCTGTGGAAATGTTCAAGGTCAGGTTGAATGGGGCTTGGAGCAACCTGGTCAAGTGGAAGTTGTCCCTGCCYATGGCAGGGGTGTTGGCACTAGATGCTCTTGAGAAGATCTTGAACATCCTTTTCCACCCAAACCGTTCTGTGATATGCACACATGCCTGCAATTGAGTTTTTAAACTGCAGCTTTAACAAYGCATTGTTTCTTGGTAATTGATAGATAGTATAAAAATGTATACATTAAAAGTACTGAAGTCAACATGGACACAAATGACTGCAAGATCAGCTTTTCTCTATACTACCCTGGTTTTATTATCCTCAGGATGGATTTTGTTTTGTAGAAGGGGTGAGACTCATCATAGGAAGATGCCTACAAACCAGGGCTAAACCAATATTGTAGATGTTCTTATTATAGTAGTTGAAAGCATTTATAAGAAACAGTTAAAAAGGTTGAGTGAAAAGAGTGAAATCAGAGTGGGTTAGAAGAGAGGTGGTGACTATTTAAAACAATCTGTAAAAAACAAGAGATGTTSATGAAAGTCAGTATGAAATGCTTTTTCTTACAGGTTCAGTTTTTGATGTAAAGTGATTATTTAAACTCCCCTTTTAAAGAAAATACCTACCTCTTAGGATGGAAAGAGAAGCTTAAAACGTGAGCCAAAATTCTGGCATGCAGCTATCAAATGAAAAGGTCATAATACAATGTCAAGAACACTGTATTTCACACTTCTGAATTTATGTGATTGGCTGCAATAAGGAGGCATTGCAGCTGAAAGCAAGATGGTATCAGTAAATAGGATGCAAGAATTGGTGAGGTAGAGCCAGGGGCAGGARCAGGAATACTGTGGGCGTGCTCATGAGTGTTGCAAAATACCAGCACTGCAGGTGCTACTGTGATTATAAATGGGAAAAAATTGTACTTGATTGATGCTGTTTTGATACCAGACTGATGGTACAGATTGTTGCACGGTGCTTCAGACATGTCTGTTGGCACCACTTGTTCTTCTCTTGGATGAATGCRTAACTACTGCTACTTGGTGTCTGTGTTACCTCCCACATGCAAAAAGCATCCGTGTGCTCTAGCCTCTTTAAGTTTTTGTCATAATTTGGAAAAGATTAATAAAGCTGTCCCCAACTTAGAAGCTTATCTAAATAGTGTGTAACTGGATAACTTACATCCTTCAAATGAATTATAGGGGGAAAAAGCTAATTATATGTACATAAAGTGCTTTTCAAGAGTTTATAAAGAACATAACTAGAAATTATCTGAAGAAGAGAGATGATTTTATTAATTCTAGGCACAGTAATCCGATGGATTTTATACCACTTTTAATGTCTTTCCTTTAAAAATTGTTGTTTTCTCCCTTCCTAACTAGGGTAGAGAAACTGCTTTGAATGCAGCAGTCATGAGATAAATCTTGTACTCAGCAGCAGCCCCTCCATTGCTTCTCTGGGGAGTGATTATGTTGGTTAAAYATTATTTGCTCATTTGTAGATAGTGCTCTGAGCTACTTATGGCTCGGGAGGGGAAGGTCTGTCTAGACATCTGAGTGTTCTTTCTTGCCTAAATTGCAAAAATCATTACTTCTCTGTTGAAGATGGATGGGCAGAATAAAGACATACTTTGTRTGCCTGACACCCAGTGTCATAAAGTGCTGTCAGATTGTTTGAAAATAAAGTTTAAGAAGTAGTCTGTGTTAAAGAAGCATCCATTTTAGGAAGCACTTCTCAGCCATAAAGGTGATCAAAGGTAGAGCTTTGGGAAGAACCACAGCTTGGAAGGGAAAGCAGGGAACTAGGGTTGGAATATGAGGATGATTGGATGCTAAGGGTAAAGGCGAGCAACTTTTTTATGGATTGTTTTAATTGATTTACTTTCTTTTTTAATCACGTATTTTAAATAACTAGTCCAACAATAATATGCTATTACCAGCCATTTAGTCAAATAGCCTTCTAGGAGATTTAAAGTGGGAATTATTGCATAAGAGATTAAATTTTTTAAAACGAATTGTGATTTGGGGGGCTTGTGTAAATCATCTGACTTTTAATGGTGCAAAACCCCTTTACCGTGGGAAAAATACTACTTCTATAAAAAAGAGCTAAACAAGTGTTTTTCACTGAGACCTCTATTTATTTTTCTTTCTCAGCAGGCTGAGATTCTTAAAAAATAAAAGGATAAAATTAGCAAACAAAAACAACTTACCTGATAAAGTTAATGATGAAAATATGCAGTTACTGTCATCAAATAGAATCCATATAGTTGTCTATCATAACAGCAGTTTTGAATGATCAGAATTGTTGTGCAAGAAAAAATAATCAAGTCTAACTCGTTCTCTTTAAAAATCCCAAGTAACTAGTAAGTGCATAGTGCAAGCTGCATTCCAGTCTGATGAAAAGTGTTCTGATTGCAAGATTAGAAGAAAACTTGATTTTCTAGCTGTTACATGTCTGCCTGCCTGAGCTTTGGCTTGCTCACAGATGATTTAACRCTGAACTAGCTATTATGCAGGATAAGTGGTAACTTAGGGTATATTTAGGATAGATACTAATTTTTGGCACACGATAGAAAAAGAACATTTCATTTTTATGTCTTAACACATGTTCCAGCATTAACTTCCAGGAAGTGAAAAGATTGCTCTTTTAAATAGGTGTTTCACATATATTTAAGGCACATTTCTCAGGATTACTTTTTGTCTTCAGATGTAATAGAAGTACTTTCATTCTGGAGCTCTGTCTGTCTTTGCCTTCAGGGCCAAATTCAGAAGATGTCTAGCTCATGGAATAATTTAGTTATCAGCAAGTATAAGTGCAATCTGCCAAGAGGAGACAAGGCACATTTGTAACAGAGCAAATAAATTAGGATAAGCTTCTTAGCMCATCGTGTTTGAAATGAAAGTTTCATTGGAGTTGTCATTTTATTATGTGTCAAAGGATAATTTGGATAATAAGATGATGCAGTGGTAGTTTTCTGAATATGTTTTTCAAACCTTTTCACACAATTTTAGCTTGACATTTTTTACATGTGTTCCAATAAGCAATTCTTGCAGTGTTTTCCTGGAGCTACAGAGTGAGCTCTGTAAAAAGAGTGTAGTTGAGCTGCTGCAGGGCAGGGAAGGGGACTAGATGATGTTAAGGTCTTTTATCACTTTTATATCTTTTTCAATTTGAAGTTTTAGTGTTTTCTCTTTGCAGCTTTATGTACTGTTTCTTATGTAATTTTACAACACTTGTGGTAATTTGTAAGTTCAGTTCAGATATATGCAACCACTTCCTCTAATTCACCACTATGGACAAGGAACAGAGGAGGGGTTGACAAATTCTATTTGGTTGTCTTGCTATTACTGTTAACTCTAAATGCCACCTATCTCAAGTCATGAACACAACACTGAAGTGAATTACAAGTGCTCTTTGAAATTAGTAAGATGCTTTAAATAAACCATTCCATAACTAACCCTGGACACTAGCTCTGGACAAGCATTGTTGCTAATTAAAAATTATTACAGTCCCTGGTATAAAGACTCTCATAGCTCAGAAAAATGATRCTGTTCTGAGAATACCTGCTTTACAAATAAGATTCAAATTCAATGAATTGTTACACTAAGTAACAAAAGCACTCCTGTTTCTTGTGTAGTTTAATCTTGAAATGTGAGTTATGAAATTAGATGTGAATAATATTTCTGTCACAAATGCTCATGATCTGTGCTTTTGTTTTCAGTACACGTTTTGGAACTTTATACCAAAAAATTTGTTTGAGCAATTCAGAAGAATAGCTAACTTCTATTTTCTCATCATTTTCCTTGTTCAGGTAAGCTATCCCCATTTCCCAGTAAGTTCTGCTCTCTTTCTAAAATAGGTAGAATTTGAAAAAGGTTTTGAAATTAACTGATTTTGATGACTATGGGGGTAACATCATTGAGGTTAGACAGCCTCCCTGATGATGGGACAAAAGTAGTTTTATTTTATTTCCATGTTGTTAATGTGAATTTAATCTAAAAAGAATTTGACTAGCATCACTAAATGAATGGCAAGACGTCTCTTGATAAAATGGAAATGAGTGCCTGTCATTTTTATTTTGTAATAAACATCCAGATCAGTAAAACTGTTACTGTAAATTTCGTTGATGATAAGGTTCTTTTAGTTTTGCAAAAATGTGATATATTATGTGATATTAATTGCTGTCTTGGCAGCAGTTTTCTAACTGTAATGTCATCCAAGTCTGTAGAGAAACTGAAATAATAGGTACTGATAGGATGCTTGTTTTTGAAATGAGTTCCATGAATAACTRTTGTGCTCTTTCTAGGTGTTTTAGTTCTGAACCTTTCACAATCACTTACTATGTTAAATAATAAAAATCTTACTAAATGAAAAGCTGTGTTCCTTTGCAGACCAGATTTATAGAAAGAAAAGCAGTGCAGATTMCCAGGTCAACTTAGATTTTGTCATTTGCAACTCCCTCTGTGAATTCTACCTCTTCGTTTATATTTGCAGAAGCCCCAGCTCAGTGTTTCAGAATTTAGTCTTTGCATGCATAAGAACTGCTCTATTGTGTAACATAAAAAGCCAGTGCTGTGCTAATATCTAATAGTGTGCCATAATTTTGCTTCCCAAGCTGCAGCTTTYCAGTCTAATACTTCCTTATAGTCTTGCAAGCAAATACTTTTACAAGCTATTAACATCTGAATGTTAAAGTGGTCTAACTGCAGTAATGTATCTTTTTATAGCATCCAATTTTCAAATTTTTGTCAGTATAGTACGTACATTCTTAAAGTTGTATTGAAGTACTGTTCTTTTGAATTAAAAATCCTTGATGCTTTGTAACAAGGTGAAATTACATGAAAGATCTTATTGAAAGATTGACTGCTTACATTCACAAAACATATAACCAGAAAATAATTGTTCTTTTTGTTGCAGTTAATTATTGATACACCTACTAGCCCAGTTACAAGTGGACTTCCACTTTTGTTTGTCATTACTGTTACAGCTATCAAACAGGTGAGTAATTTAGTGAGCACAAGTAAAACGAAAGAGAATAGTTGGGTCGGTTTGGGTCTGCTGTCCAAACGATGCCCCCTCCCGGCCTCTTTTCCACCCCCAGCCTGCTGGTCTGGTGTAGGGGAAGGTTGAAGAGAAAGCCTTAATGCTGACACTTTCCASTAGTAGCCGAAACCCAGACTGGTTTAACCCCAAATGCAAAGCACAGCAACCTGAGACTGCTGTGAAGARAATTAACTCTACTCCACATAGAGCCTGAACAGAGGATAATTTTGATTGTCAATTAATTGATAACTTACTGCCTTCACAGTCTTTATGCTAAAGGCAGACATTTTTGTCTTCAAAGAAGCTCATGGAAAGTTGTGTTTCTCTTTCTTTACAGTGGCAACTATTAATAATTGAGTATATTCTGTAGTTAAATTCAGCACTTCTTTGAGCAAAACTTGTGATGCAAGTGGGCTTTCTCTTAAGATTTTAAAATCAAGCTTTGAAGTCTTACTGTTAGTAGCGACCTACCAAAGCCTGGGTTATACCATGCTGTGCCTGGTACTGCAGTTCTGTTCTATCTCCTTGAGTTTTTCTCCCAACAACTTGTGTACATTTTGGGACCTGCTTGAGGAGCTGTACCAACCCCTGTATGTATAAAGTTAAAGAGTCTCTGTAAGTTCCCAAATAATTTTTGAGAATATCCARTGTAGTGTTACTTTTGTTCTGCGCTGAACTTTGAAATGTGCTCAAGAGAGTTAGATGTAAAACTGCTATGGTGATATTTTCTATCAGTTAACCGCTGATGACTTCATCAGTCCCAATTTTTATCATATGGCAGGATCTTTTCAGTGGAAGGTTGCAGATTCCCTGTCCTTTAGTTTGTCTGTTTGTATAAAACACAAATTCATAGGGTGATTGAGCATTAAAAATGGGGTAATCTGCAAGGTCTTTTGAAACAAAATTCTTCATGCCTATATATTGTATATAGGGTTAAAAGGTTTGCYTTAATTGTATGACAACCAGGAAATGTGGCAACCTTTAGTCATTCATCTCTTTATCATCTTGCTGGATAAAGTCCTATTCTTCCAAAATATGTTTTCTACACTCCACCTTCCAGTTACCTGCTTTTATAAGTACTTTGTCCTTACTCAAGAGTCAATAGAGCATGAGCAAGAAATGGTCATTTAAATACCAGAAACTGTTCTATGCTTTCGGAGCCCTTGTTCATCTAGATACCTTCATTGAAATACGTAGTTTTGTTGACTAGTTGTAACCATGAATGTTCTTTTTCATAGATATCCAGAACAACTGTAGTACTGACATGTATCACAATTTCATTTGTTCTAGGGACAGGTTTTTTTTTTTCCTTACTGTGATCAAGGATATAATTTTTTAAATTTTTCTTGCAAGCTAAAGCTATTCTATGTCTTTATAGTCAAATGTGCATCACTATATCATTCCATTTCACTGTTTTCTAGGGTTATGAAGATTGGCTGCGACATAAAGCTGACAATGCAATAAATCATTGCCCTGTTCATTTCATTCAGCATGGTAAACTGGTTAGAAAGCAAAGCCGAAAATTAAGAGTAAGTAACTATGACTTAACAGGTTTTGTGAGTCAGGCTTTACTTTCACCCTTCTTACATACTTCACACATAAAACATGTTATATAGAAATGTAATATGATGATGTAGCATTTATTGCATTTAATGGAGATTAGACCTATAATATACTAATTCTTAGTTTTATGCTTCTGAATACAGCATTTTTATAAAATTAAACTCCTAGTGAATTAAACTCTAATGAGACTAGATAAATCTCATTTATTATCATCACGCTAAAATTTTATTTTACATGTTTATGTTGCTGATTTTTATTTAACTAATATTTAACTATTGCATTCTTGCTTAATTAGAATTAACTAACTCCTTCCATAAATGTTCCCATTGTTTTTCATTTTTGACCTGGAATTTCTGTCATGATTTACCTTTTCTCTATTTTCTATCCTCTGTGATTATCAAAGAATCATAATCATAAAAATATGGTTTGGGTTGGAAGGGACCTTAAAGATAATCTAGTTCCAATCTTTGTGCCATGAGCAGGGACACCTTGCACTAGACCAGGTTGTTCAGAGCTTTATTGAACCTGACTTTGAATGCTCTCAAGGATGGGRCATTATTACTATTATGCACTTTAATAATTTATTTAAGCCTGATTATGACAGTCAGTGCTATGTATACAGGTGCATGCATATATACAGACACAAGGCATTCTAAATATTTTCTCAAAACCCATCAAATCACAATCTCATCATTGACCTTGTGAATGCTGTTACATTCCCTTCTTGGTATTTTGAAGATTGTTTTCAGAAATTAATTTTTGCTTGTTGTTGGTTTTTTTTCATGGGCAGATTAACTTTCTAACAGTATTTTCTTTAGAATTCAGAAAATTTATTAGATATTTGTTTGGAATTTTCTTATTTATAATATGTTTGTTGGGGTATCTTTTTCTGCCCTGCTGTTTTTGGGTGTAAATGCATCAACAGTGTTCACGGCCTTTCTGCTGTGACCTTTCATTTGAGTGTGATAGGGCTTTCCAGTAATAAAATAAAATTAGGACATCACATGCTTGAGAATCCCAGGTGTATACCTAATCAGTTAAATATTCCAAACAAAAATAATTAAATACCATGTAACTGGATTTTGAATTTTAGTTGTTAATCTGTTGCCCTTTTTTTCATAATTTGTCCCCTGTTTATTGCCTTTCAGAGGGTGCTTATTGAGTGACTAAATGATAGGAGAGACAGACCTAGGAAACACTGGCATGGAGAGGAGTATCTAGGCGTGTTTGTAAATGGGTGAAACTCTCAGATCTGTATTAGACAAGAAAACAGACTAAGTTATATAAAGGTAGACCTTTATATATCCTGGTGACATTCGATTAAAGAAGAAAAAAAAGGATTGCTAAAAGATGAAGTTCTTTTCCACACAATCAGAGGATGKCTGAGGTTGGCAGGCATCTCTGGAGGTTTTCTGGTTCAACCCCCAGYTCCAGCAGGGCCATCAAGAGCTGTTTACTCAGTACCCTATCTAGAMAGGCTTTAAGTATCTCCAAGGAGGGAGACTCCATTATCTCCCTTGGGCAACTGTTCCAGTGCTCAGTGATTCATGTGATGAAAATGAGGTGGACCCTCCCGTGTTCCAGGTTGTGCCTACTGCCTCACRTTTTGTCACTGGCCACCACCTGAAAGAGCCTGTCCCTGCTCTCTTTGCATCCTTAGCTGACATAATGGCAAAGATTGTTGAAACATCTTTAAAATTTTATTAAGATGCCATGAACTAATACTTTTATTTGTTTTGGGTTGAGGAAATGAGAATTTCATACCTGATTGTTGCAGTTATGCTTAGAGTTTGATTTCTCCTGTCAATGTGTACGATCTGAAATTTTTCATTGCTATTGGTTAAGAAAGAAAAAACCCTTTACATATCTACAGTTAGGTAAATCTCCTTTATTTTCATCATTCTAAAATTTTATTTTTAGTTGTTATTATTGTTGATTCCTGTCAGACTGTTTTGCTTAACTGGAATTAAGTGACTCCTGCCAACTGCTAAGGATAGTGGGATTTAGCTTTAGAAGCATATAACAATAACAATGATTAGGCTGAGTCTTATTAAAATAAATTATGATATAAAAGTATATTGAACAGCTGTTGACCTACATGAAAAACTGCAAAAATTACATATTTTTGATAGGATTTTTATTAAAACTCTGATATTCTTAGAACGTGGAGTATGTTTTTGCCACTTGTTTAGCCTCAAAAAATGTAAAAAAGCCATTTTTCTTGAATGATTTGCAAGAATATTTTGAATTCATAATTGGTTGGTTGTTCTGTTATGACTTCCTAATGTGCTGTAAAAAAATGCCTGTGTTTCCATGAATTAGTCTGCTCACCTTTAAACATGGATAAAAATAGGTTGGACTTCTAGTCAAAATTGTGCTAAAAACTATCCTGTTTTCATCAGCAGACTTGAAATTSTTGGCTTTTTCAGCTATCTCTAATTGTCATATTTGGATTTAGATGCTTATCCTCATGAGCCAGTGAGAGCAGCTCACATCTCCTGGAGATTTTGCAACAGTTTTGTTGTATTTAGTCTTAAAACAAGGMTTATATCTTCCATCTCTCACACAATGTTACAAAACTTAATAAGGCAGTACTTGCCAGAATGCTATCCTGAGAGGAAAGCAGTAAACAGTAGATCTCAGTCATTCCGCRAGATATAATTCAGTTTTCCAGAGATACTTCTGTAATTCTTTACACTTGCAGTAGAATTCTAGGATGGATAAAAAGTGATGTACTTTCAAAATATTTGTGTTAATCTAGGTTTTAGTTTTGAAATCTGAAATTTGGGCTGCTACATAAGTGCATTTTATTTTCTTGTATTTTTATTCCCTAGGTTGGAGATATTGTAATGGTAAAAGAAGATGAAAAATTCCCATGTGATTTAATATTCCTATCAAGTAGTAGAGGAGATGGAACATGTTTTGTTACAACAACTAGTTTGGATGGTGAATCCAGTCAGAAAGTAATTAAATGCTTCACATTTTCTTTTTAAGGCAAAGTTTGCTTTCAATTTTTGACACAGATGACTTGATGCTTATATGTGTGAGCAGGTACACAAATTTGTGTGAGTTATRTTTGTACCATCTGACTTCACATTTCTAAAAGTAATATGATTTTATGAAAAGTTCTAAGACATTTATTTGTGATTTTGTCTGTGTCCAGTATAGGCTTGCAGATTGCAGTGATAATACACTAACTTTTTGTACTTCTATTTATGTACCTGATTTATGAATACATTGCAAGGTAGTTACACAGAATTGTAGAATCATTASGGTTGGAAAGACCACATAAGAAGATGCCCAAATAAGAGCATTTAGAGATACATTTTTTAAAAATTATGAGCTCTTACATAAAAGTTAGTAAATTTCATGCTCAACTGAAGTATATGCAGATTAATGTCTTGCATATCTGTCCCTTTTTATTTTTTACATGTTTTTATTCATTCCAGACTTACTATGCTGTTCAAGACACAAAGGCATTTCACAATGAACAAGAAATCGATGCATTGCATGCTACCATTGAATGTGAACAACCTCAGCCTGACCTTTATAAGTAAGAAAATAAATCTTACTTGTTTCATTTAAGGTACCCTAGTAATGAATCATAAAAATACCATAATGATAACATACTGGCTGCATCTCTCTGGTTACAGTGAGTGACCTTAAAGTCAGGTAGGACTTCCATCCGTACTCCTTTTCTGCAGGTAGTTCCCTATGTGTGCTCTGGGATAGTGATCTCCAAAGGGGGATGGCACAAAGCAGTCCACTGAGGAATGTGGTGAAAATTTTAGAACGTCAGAGGTTTTTTTTATAATCTAAAAATTAGAAAGAAATWAAGCTTTACTAATAGTATATTTCTTGATATTGGCACCTATGCTCGCTCTGTATGTCACATACAGGTTCTCCAGAGGARGAGGGTGTTCCACGATATGGAGAAGTTGCCTGTGGCACTCACTCCTTTGCTTTCAGTGTATTGCAAAGTATTGCCATTTATGTGTACCCAGTTAAATGGATTTTCAGATTATATTATCTAGTTTTAAACAAATTAACACTCAAAAAATGCTGAAGCAGCTTAAAAAGAMTTGCAAAGAAATTGCAGATTGAAGGCAATAGTAACACTGTAGCACAAATGAACAATAAGTAAATGGCAAGCACTTCTACTCCTAGCAGAGAACTTCATCAGTCACATTATGAAGTACAGCTACTGTCAATCTAATCAGATCTGACAGGACATCAGTCAGAAAAAATTGAAATTGTCAAGACTATTTGAAATACAGATTTACATCTACTGTTGTTCATGATGAGCCTTGCATCACAGTTGAAATGTTAATGACAGCACAAAGTCATCACGATTAGCAAAACACTTTAAAATGAGTGTGCAGRACATTAAGAAAAATATCTACAGTTGTATAAAGTCACGCAATGTTCAGTATTTTGTAAAAGAATTGTACACAATTCTGCTGAATGTAATGATAAATCTTGAGACGGCCCCTTTTGAGGTTTCTTTCTTAATAATAATGCAAAAAGTTCTAGGCCATTGACCRAACACTTGTTTTTCTGCCACAGTAAAAATAGATTAAATAATGCACAGAAAACAATATGATGTCAAGCTAAAATGCACTCTTTTGACAGCCAATACTGTTGGGAAGTGCAGAAAAAGCATTGTTTTTTTCTGAGGTATGAAGGCATGTCTTTTCCCTGATCTTGGTGATTAAGAAACTGGTTCAGAAATCTGCTTGAGAACAGGGTCTTCAGAATATTGAGGCCATCGCTTGCTTGATCCGATCCTTTTTTAAAATGCTTGGCTCACAAACTGAATGACTGGAAGTTGAAACTCGTGCTATTACAGATGGTGAAATCTTTTGGTAGAGCTGTTGACGCACAATAATGAAAATGCTTATTGGTAGTCTGTTGATTTTTACTTCAAACTATATCTCTGAACAAAACACCGTGGTGAATCTTTTTTTCTGAAGACACGAGGTTATTTTGTGTCATGATGCATCTTAGCCAACTGTGCGTCATTGTCTTTCGATATAGCCCTACTATGTTGTGAATTCTCTAAGCAGACAGGATGCCATTCCTCTGAGCCTCAGAGGTTCCCTTTCAGGGTAACAGAYCCACCAGCTCCCCACAGTTTCCTCTGATATTGAGAACACTAATGTTCGGCTTAATTCTCTTTGCATTAGGATCTCCACTTGGACAGTGGTATTGCAAATMCAGTGTACTGAATCTGGCTGGAATAAAGGGAGTTCTCTTCAGTGGAGAGTGTGGTGTAGTGTTGTTGCTCTGAAACAGCATTAACTGCACACTACGGTTTTAGCTATTGTTGTTAAACTTTTACATAGTGTGAAACTTTTGTTCATCACTTTGCCCTTCCAGCAAATAGGCTGGGGGTGGATRAGAGGCTGGGGATGGACACAGCCAGGAGACTGACCTCGGTTGACCAGAGCAGTGTTCTGTGCCATATAGTGTCATGCTCAGCAATAAAACCAGGGGGCAGGGGGCAGTCTCCCAAAGCAGCTGGTTGCTTGGAGACTGCCTGGACATCAGCAGGCTCATTGGAGGTGGTGAGTGGTTGCTGTTGTGTCACTTGTTTTTTTCCCTTCACTTATTAAACGGTTATGATCTTGCTTTTGTTCTTCCAATTTTCTTCCCTATCTGCTGGGAAGGGAACAAGTGAGAGGCTGATGGGTACTTTGCTGCTATCCAGGGTCAAGCCACCACATGGCTTGTAAAATGTACTTACAGATATTTGGAGGGGGAATTACTTACTAGCCCTAAGCTTTGGTTTGGTTTTAATTCAGTTGTAGGCTTTAGATATTGTAAAAGACTGTAATTACACTGACTTTTCTCAGGCATTTTAAGGAATGAGACTTCTTATATCTTGCTCATGGGTCTGCTTAGYAAATTTATCCCTAATTTTCTAATATTTTACATCTTTTTATATGCAAAATTTATATCAAGTTACCATTCTGTGTATTTTTGTATTTACATGTTTTAAGTGTATATCTGTCTATATGTATCTCTTATGTTCTTGTTCATGTTCTGGATWATTGGAGCCTGTTCAGTTGGAAAATGTTTTCTGTGATAAACACCTTCTAGAAAATATTCTCAAATAATCTATTAGCAGTACTGTTAAACTACTTGTATATTTCCCTTTCAGATTTGTTGGTCGAATAAATGTTTACCATGATAGGAATGAGCCTATTGCAAGGTGGGGAAATCCAGAGTTTCTGCACATTTAAACATTTCACAGTTGAATAAGTATCAATAATGAGAATTACCTTTGCTTCACCAGCATTGTGCAGCTTTGTCTTAGTGATAGAATATTTTTCTCTTAGAAGATTCCAGACTGTTATTTCATAAATAATAAATATTTCATCTTTGAATCATATGTCTCTTCTTTAGTATTTTAATGTCTTTATTCAACTTTGATTTTACTTCACATGTGTTTAGTTTGTAAGTTATGTTAATAGGATTTTGACAGCACTTGTACAATACTGCCCAAGTTATCTCAAGAGTGTGAGATCTTGGTAGTGCACTAAACATTATAAATAGTATTACTTGTGTATTTATTTTTTCTACTTAGATTTTGAAGAGTTTGAACATGTCGAATAATTGTGTTAAATTTTACTAAGTGTGTTTGTACTTCTGTCTAAAATGTCCAYAGTTTTGTGTGTTCAAGGAAGGCAACATCCAACTTGCTGTACCTGATTTTGTTCTGATCCTTGCCACAAAGAGGCAAAGCAATAGGAGGGAAAACTGCTTGCAGGGGTGATATCCTAGATCCCAGMATGCAGGGAGTTACTGAGTGCTGGCTAAGTGCCTTTCTAACCTCAGTATGTCTGTAGATCCGCTATAAGAACTGTCAGTTGATCTGGGTAATTCATGTAACATTGTTCCACTAGTTTCTTGGAACTAGTTTCAGGTTTTGCATTGGAATTATGGCTYTGTTTATTTAAGAGTTTCTTGKTTTTTTGGGAGCTTCATACCACAAGTACACTTTGAATGAMATTCACGGACACTGACCTTACTCCTTGGGGTTTTTCTTTTAATTGCTGTATASAGAGAATCTGACAATTCTGTATGCAGTCTGTCTGTAAAGAAGTCCTTGGTTTTGAACGCACATGATGATTAGGGTTACATATTGTGTTCCAATGATTTAAACTTGATTGAGGTYCTTACATTAATTCCTTTATTCTTCAATAAATTATTTTACCTGTATTTTATCAGCATTTTTTAAAATGTTTACAGGTATTAAAAATATTTGTATGCCATTGATACTTAAAATAAAATGGAGGAGTGTAGTCCTCAAGTAATTCTAGCATACAGGACACTATATTTTGCATAAGCCTAAAAAATACCTTAATTAATGTTTAAAAAAATAAGTATTGTGTAATTAGGAAGTTGATGTCTTTATTTGGGTGCCTRCATATGTGGGGTTTAGGTGCATTGGTTTAAGACTTAAATTGTGAAATTGTGAGCTTAATATTAKGCATCTTTTTTAATTTTCAGTTCAAAATTTTAAATAGGCCTTGTAAGTTTGTTGAAATAAATTTTTTTTAGTTAAACTAATTTCCTGGTTTAAGTGACTTCCATTAAGGTCTGATGTTTTTCTCTAAATGTTTGTTTTGTAATGCCTTTTGCAGGCCATTAGGTTCTGAAAATCTGCTTCTTAGAGGAGCCACTTTAAAGAACACAGAAAAAATATTTGGTAAATATTTCTATTGACTAATTTAATGGACTCTGAAGTAATAAGCAAACACCAAACAAGGTTACAAGCCTACASTTACTACTGAGCTTACGATTTCTACTGACTCAACTGTTTTACCTTTTTTAATACTGCTTAATATTAATATATAGAAACACTTCAGCAATTGGAAACTGTGACTGGAATGGGATGTAAATGGTGCTTAAAATTTCTCTCGGAGTACCAAGATAATAAAGCTATTTCTAATTTTGGGCCATCATCCAAATGTATGGGCTTTTTCTTCAGAATAAGGAATTAAAGAAATGACAGAGTATAACATCCTAGTAAATTGTGCTCTTTTGAATTTACTGCACTGTGCAATCTTTAGTAAAACAAGTTGTCTGATTTCAGGTGTTGCTATCTACACTGGCATGGAAACTAAGATGGCATTAAATTACCAATCAAAATCACAGAAGCGATCTGCTGTAGAGAAGTAAAATTTCTAATATTTATTTTGGGGGTTGAAAGCTGCATGTTTGGTGCAAATCAGAWTTTTTTTGTCTGAAAATGTATGTTTTATTGATTTAAATGAAAAAGAGGTAGAGTGACTTACAATTTGCTTCTTTTTAWATAATTTTTTACTGATAATACAAGTCGTGTAACACCATATAGATGAGGTTCTCAATGCCAGATTATTATTKTTAGTTTAAAAAATATAGCCCCTTTGATTTAAAGCATAGTTTTTCAAGGYAAGATGTTTTGCTGTTCCATAAGACTTTTCTTTCACTGGTTACAGTTCATCTACTGACAATTTTCCAAGGTTGTGTATTTTATTATCCTAACATTTGATGCTTTCCATTGCAATTAAGTCTTGAATTCAATGCAAGTAACTTTTTTAATGCACTTCCCTTTGGATCAGCTGCAGTGATACAGTGCTTGTCTGTGGCATGTGTTCCATGGTTTAGCTAAAATTAACAAGTTCCACACAAGCATACATGATGGCAAAGTAAAACAATGCTATYGTTAAAGAGTGAGCTAACATTGGTTGGTTACTATTTTTAAAATAGMGACTATTTTCTATTCCTGCTCTGCTATCTGAAATCATCAGCTCTGGGTAAGGTGTCCAACCTTGTGAGAAACAAGATGTCATTGATTGAGGCAAGATGTACTGACCAGCTGACAGCCCTTGTCCTACTCTGTGACTGGGCAATGATGATGTGTCTTTTTCYATTATTATTGATAGATAACCCATGGCTTTTAGTTCATGCCCATCATTATTGAAAATGCAATCTTAAATGCAAAATGTTCTTGCTCTTTTTTTAGATCTGCCTAGAGTTAAAAAGTTACAGCTACATAATAAAATGCTCTTGATGATTTTATGTTTTTATGAAAGTACTTATGTGAGTGATCTTTTATTCAGAGAAATGGCATAAATATGTCTGCAGATAAAAGCCCAGTTATTCTGTTATATTTCTATCTATGCTGTTGTTTTCACTAACAAACTAGTTTTGGTAAAGTCACACACATTTTGGAACAATTATAGCAGTTAACATTTCAAAGAGAAAATGTTCCTCAATAATTTTATTCATTGGAAAAGCACTGTAGAAGACTTACTTAACTTCTTAGCATTGTTAGACTTGCAGAACTTGTTAGGCTGATCTATAACATTTTSTAATAAATTCTGGTTTATGTGACAATGGATTTCTTATTTTGCCTTTTTTTTTCTTTTTAGATCAATGAATGTATTTCTTGTTGTATACCTCTGTATTCTTGTCAGTAAAGCACTAATAAATACTATTCTGAAGTATGTCTGGCAGAGTGAACCATTTCGTGATGAGCCATGGTATAATCAGAAAACAGAGCCTGAACGGAAAAGAAATTTGGTATGGAAATAAATTATAATACCAAAAACAKTTCCCTAAACCCTTAATTTATAGAGATTCTACTGAAAAGTACATACAGCCTGCTTACTTACTTACAGCCTTTTTTTGCTAACGATGATAGTGTACTTATAGAAAGCTTGTTAAATTTTTGCCCTTAAGTTSTATGTGTCAATTTAACTGATGAGAAGATGTCTGGTTTGGTATAAAAAGCTTCATGTAAGTGTTTTGGGATTGGCTGTTATTTATATAATTTGCTAAAGAATTGATTTCTTGTCGAGAAATACAGGTTTGGAAGGAATCCCACAGCTACTGGCAGTCCTGTAAGAAACATGTTCACAAGATTTTCTCTTTTGTAGGATTATGTAGGAATCTCTGTAAAAATCCCCCTCAGAAGCTTAGTTTCATATTGCTCTGTCATGAGACTTGAGCATCAGTCACCAGTGTCAGATGTTCTATGGGAGCAAGGATATTGTCCAGGATGGRCACCCAGATGATCCAAAGCAGTGAATTGAACTCTGCACTACAGAAAGCAYAACATTATTTCACTAAATCCTCCCAATCAGACTAGGGGAAAATTTTCTTCCTTACCCTAAATGCCTGAGGAGCAGGTGCTAGCCGGGTATTGTAGAGTTCTCATTACCACCATCATGTAGCGCTGTCTGAACCTGCTCAGCAGGCTGACTGYAGCTCCACCAAGTCTCCACCACTGAAAAATTGAGCCAAGTTATCTGCATATATTCACAGATATTGTTGAGAGGGGGAAAGGAAGCCCTTTATTAARCACTGCCTGAAAGTGATGTAATTTGGTAATCCTTGAAGGACTTACAATGGTTCTATGTTATTTTTCTGGTAATTTGTGATGTACAATGTTAATGTTTCCCTTGTTCCCCAAAAAAGTCTTTACTATGCTCATTAATTGCTCTACAGCTTTACAATAATGCTATATGACAGTATTCTACACCTGTGTGTCTGTAAAGAAAAATGCAAATTTAAAAGAAAAAGCTCTATTTCATGCCAATTGTGATGTTATACATCATGAAGGTCTACATCCTGAGCTGAACTGTGAGCTATGAGAGGTGTTGCTGTTTGAAAGTTATTTGAAAAAATTAGTTTGTAAATACGTGTAGTAGTCTTGCAGTCTTTAATGACACATGAAAAATCAATATTTTCATCTTGTTTCTTYGGCAGTTTCTTCAGGCTTTTACAGACTTCCTTGCATTCATGGTCCTTTTCAACTACATTATTCCTGTATCCATGTATGTCACTGTGGAAATGCAGAAATTCCTTGGTTCTTACTTCATTACATGGGATGAGGAAATGTTTGATGAGGATACAGGTGAAGGACCACTGGTGAATACTTCTGACCTCAATGAGGAGTTGGGACAGGTGAATTTCATTGAATGATAATTTGTCTTTCAATTGCTTCTACTGTAGGTTTTTATTTTAAAATTGCCACTTCAAGTATTTTTGGTTTTATTTTGGGTTTTTTTTGCAGCTACATGTCCATTACCTTCAGTACTGATTCATTTTAAAAATAAAATTTTTGTTTTCAGAGTCAAAAATTCTGATTTCTCACCCAGTCAATAGAATTCAATWAGTATTACTGTGTTACGAAGGCTTAAATGCTTTTCTCTCCRTTGATTACAGAGGGAAATTATATAARCATCTAACTTCCTTAGATTAAAAGTTAGATGGAAAAAAAGTCCCATTTTGTCTGATTAAACTGATATGAATCTCCAGACACAAGTTTTATCCATTAAAAGGCTCACTTGTCATTCTCATTTTTGAAAAGAAATTCTGTTCTGTGTTAAAAAAATCATCACCTTGAGACAGATACAGAGAAATAATTTTATTGAAAATATTGAGGGATTTTCTCAGTGGTGCCTGGTGACAGGACCAGAGGCAGTGTGCACAAACTGAAACAGCAGWGTCTGAACGTGAGGAAACAATGGGTCAAAGCAACACACTGAATGACTAAAAGACCTTTGCTTGATAGCATTTTATAACTTGCAGTATGTAACTGAATGTAGGGTTTGTGATGAAAAAAAATCCATATAAATGCTATGCAACTTGTAAAAAGTTGAATTACTGGTATTTTGTCCACAGATTAAAAAATAAAACTACTGGAAAATTTGGCATTTGCCTTTTCAGATTAGTGAATATTACAAAAGTCAATCTCAGTGGAAAGTTTGCATAATTAATGACTTTTTTTAAGACTAAGAGCAAAAATTCATTTATTTTTTTATTTGATCAGTGCACTGCATAAATGTTGARGTTTGTTAATCTGATGAATTCTAAATAATAGCCTTTTTTTCATTGTTTACTTCTTTGCCTTACATTATTCTCTTAGTTTATAAAATACTACATCCAGTGTGTATACAATGTTTACATCCAGTATCCAAAATTGAGCCAATCTAACTCTTCTAGTTTATAGTTCAGATTTATTTTAAATGTTTTTAGACTTAAGCACTGCTGRGCTCATTGCAAAAGATCGAGTTAATGAAAAATTCAATATTGAGACAAAATGAATGTTTCCAGGGCAATTASAGTGCTCATGTGTATAACTGTATGTGTCCACAATCCTTATTAAAACTAACATAATTGTAGTTTGGCATTCTGATACTACCCTAAAGGCTGTTCTGACAGTAAATGATCCAAATCTAGGCATGTGCATTAAATAATAATCCATGGGAAATGAAATTGGTGTGCATTTTGTTTCTATAAATATCTGTCTTGCAGCACGAAAGACATTAAAAAMTAAAAACGATCTAGAGAGAAGAGGGAAAGTAGGTTAAACACATTATTTATATGTGTTATAAGGCAAAAGATAGCACTGCTTGGTACTCTTGTAGGATAAAATCTTTCACGGTCTATATTTCTGTGAAGATAACTGCCATAAGAAATTGTTATCTTCCTTTTATGAAAGAGCATAAGAATCTTTAAAGGAAGGTGTAACCCAGTAGTAAACTCAGTTTTGTTCAGAGATGTTGGAAAATCTCTGTTCATATTCCTGCTGTTTGTAATTTGTGCTCATTTGCAGATTGAGTATGTCTTCACAGATAAAACAGGAACATTAACTGAGAACAACATGGAATTCGTAGAATGTTGCATTGAAGGGCATGTTTATGTACCAGATGTTATCTGCAATGGACAAGTTCTYCATGATGGTACAGGCATTGATATGATTGATTCATCTCCAGGAGGTAGTGGAAAGGTATGATAACTATTTCTATGTTTTGCTTTTTTACAATGAAACATGAAAATTGAACTGTACTGATGAAGGGAATATTAGAAATCCAACATTCTTGAATTTCACAAATCAAAGTTGATAACTSCATAGACTTAGATTTAAAGGCTTAATAGGAAGTTTCTCAACTTAATACAGCTGTAAAGCTGAATTAAAACCCAAATAGATAACTTTCTCTGGTTAATACCTACAGGCATAGATAACTGGTGTCCATTCAACCTKAGTTACAACAGGGAAAGCAAGACAGGAAACTCCTCAAAGGGGGAAATGAGTTCYCAATGCAAGCACTTATTTAATCATCACTGACTGAAGAGGTGGCCAGAAAATGGCTTATGATCAAATTAAATTACTTTAAAATGTGGCTTAATTTAGCCACATTTGAAGTGTGCTACGTACAGTATGTATGTATTGTGGCTATTTGCTATGTAAAGCAAAGTTRCAAGTTTAGAAGTCTTCATGTGTCAACAGGTGAACAGAGTGTATATGGGCAGGACAATCATAGCCAAAGGGCAATATAATGTTTTATTATATCAGTACAGTAATATCATTCATGCTCACTTCATATCATACCCTTCACTATGACAAAATGTCTCTTAAGATATGTTGGTGTAATTCAGTAACCTTATGTYTCTCACCCATGGCCCTCGAAATGTGGTCCCAAGGTTTACTGTGCTTTTATCTTGGAATTACAATGGCACGGTTTGTATTTAACAGAAATAGGTTTTAGATGCAAAAACAAGAGATAAAACACRGCCAGGTATCCATGATATAGAAATCTCTTTCTGGTGCCAGGAGTTGTCATTACCAAACCATCTGAAATTTTACAGGAAGTGCTTGGCTTGAGCTGCCCAAGTATGTGCCCTTCAGTAATTTATGTAGTTCTGAGGGGTGGGTGTTCAAGCTGCTCAAGAGATTGAAATCTGTAAGCCCTGCTAAGTCCTGTGCTCTAGTTACTACATCCTTCTATGTGTACTCGGGACTCCTGAATTACACTTTGTCTAGTATTTAATTAATACAAGTTATTAAAGTTTAAGCAAAAGTAAAGAAAAAACACCTTCAGCCATATCTAGACACTCAGAGGAGGTAGATGATGCACACTGGGGTTTTTTTGCTTCATTAGCTTGATTTGTATGTCAATCCCAGCAACTTGACTTGTATGACAATCCTAGAGGTACAAACAACTGTGACACAATCGTGTGGTTACCACTGGGTGAGACCTGGCTCCTCCTAAAGGAACCTGCCTTTGTCTGACTAATAATCAGTAGTAATCAGTGACATCAGTCACCCTCCAAAAGAAGAGTTTTTGAGTGATAGCACTTAATAACAACCATTCCTTTTATTTTTCAGGAGAGAGAGGAACTATTTTTCCGAGCTCTTTGTCTTTGCCACACCGTTCAGGTAAAGGATGATGACAGCGTAGATGGATTGAAGAAAAACGAGTTCTCAAGAAAATCTTGTATATATATATCATCATCACCTGATGAAGTTGCTTTAGTTGAAGGAATACAGAGGTATGAGTGTACCTAACTATTATACCTTTTTAAACTACAGATTAATCACTGAAGCACAAAATCATTTTTAGAACAAAAATCATAGTAATAAGCAGCAGTAATCTACAGCTGATTACTTTCTTAACATGTGTTCATGATTATTCATGGTCTAAAACCAACTAAAAACAGTTTGGGATTTTGGTGTCTATTGTGGGCTCAGTCTTAAATCTTAATAACATGCTTATACTGAATAAATATATATTTGTTGTATTCATTCTCTTGATCTTTGTTTCATTTTACAGACTTGGTTACACCTAYCTAAGGCTGAAGGACAATTATATGGAGATCTTAAATCGGGAAAATAACATAGAAAAGTGAGTGGTTAAAAATATAACAAAAGAGACTGATGGACTTTTTGTTGATGTGTTTAATAAATCATTGTATCCTTACATATTAATCTTTAAGTCAGAAAAGTCAAGAGCTATACATTTTAGTGGGAAAAAATGTTATTTTAATTACTTTYACTTTGACATTATATGCAGTTCAAAATATTGATATAACAGCAAAGGTGTGGTGTGTGATTTATGACCTAATCTAATAGTTTTTAGTGGTTTTAAGAAGTATGGGTATTTTTCCTTTTTTATATGGTAAATAATACRTTCTTAATGGAAAAGGCTGTATAACCAATTTGCTATTCTCAAATAATCTGTGGAATTTACAAGAGAGTAGTATCTATAGAATGAATTTTGTAGACCATAATATGAGTCAAATTTTCACTAATATTGAAGTAGTACAGCTGTTTCATGGGATATACATACCCTTGAAAATTCACCTTATACTTATTGAGATGATTGCTGGTTAAGTCTGTTGTGTGTCTGGATCTTCCTGCATGGGCACTCTGTTAACTATGCAGGGACTCTTGGACACAAATAGAGGAACTCTGCTGTTGTTTTATTCCCTTTTAGGATAATGTGGAAAAATTTTCCCAAGGTTACTTCAGACCTTTTTTGCTCAGCTCATAAGAACTCGAGTCAGTATAATTTGATGACTCAAAAGAAAGCGCTATAATCATTAAGAATTTTCTCACAAATGCATCACAGTTTGTGGACATAGGCCTGATGTACCTTGTCTTCATTTTTCTTCTCAGAAAGGAAAGGAACAYGATAAAAATAAAATCATAGAAATAATGGCAAGTATAAAGCCACTAAAAAGATTTTTTTTTCCCTTGAATAAATTATCATTCAACATTTGAGCAAGATTGATGGAATTAAGTTAGCCCTTTGGGAGATTAGGAATAGTGAAAATTAGACAAATACTAAATAAAGACTTCTGTGTAAACAAKCATTTCAAGTTCCAAGGCTATGTCTAAGTATTATCCATAGAAAATTACTTTGTAAGCAGTAGAGTGCTCTGCTGCAAGGTTTTCAGTCTTCTACTTATATAAATTAGATTGACTATATCCAAAGATACTTAGGAACATCACAAGTTCTATTCCAAGTAATTAGGAGCTAAGGGCTTTCCCTATTTATTATTTGCRACGTGTTGTTTTGTTCTGTACTAGTTCCATATTCCATAGTACTCAACATGATTTTTCATTTTAGAAGTCATGTTTAATTTATATACTTGAAGTAACCAGTTTAGGGATCAGGAAAAGCAGAGTTGTTTAAAAAATAATTCTTTTTTTGTTTCAGGTTTGAATTATTGGAGGTTTTGAGTTTTGATTCTGTGAGACGGCGAATGAGTGTAATTGTTAAATCTTCAACAGGTAGGGACGTCACATTCTGTTACATTTATTGTTTCACTTGACTTTGTTTCAGATTTTTGGAGTTAAGCATTGATAACAATCTGTTTCTTTCTTTATAAAATAAGGGACCAAGTACAAGCATAAGTACACGTTTTATAAAAAAGTTGGAAGAAAACATTTTGACGACTTACTAACTTGGGTGTTTTTTGAAGAAGTATATTTGGTTAAYTTGAATTCCATATGCTGTCTCTTTTAGGTGATATATTTCTGTTTTGTAAGGGAGCAGATTCCTCCATATTTCCTAGGGTTAAAGAAGGTAAAATTGACCAAGTACGAGCCCGAGTAGAACGCAATGCAGTGGTAAGATGCCTTTTTTTTTGATCTGTTCACATGATATCAGTGTCAAAAAGAAATTAGGTGTTCTCACCTCCTGCTTTACTTGCTAAATAATTTATCTTCACAGGTACCATGGTTATTCTGTGTCAAGGTTTACTCAGGCTGTGTGGGTAGCAGTCTATTTGAATATGTCCTTCATCTCATCTTCTAAATGGCAGTTGTGGTGTAATATGAATGCATTAGWTATGCATGTTAAACCAGAGGTCAACAATTAACTTGTTAGTATGGCATTTTCAGAGTTGTGCTTCGAACTCATTTTTGAATAGAGAAAAGTGAAAGACTGTAAATCTCTTTGCTAGTTTCAGTCTCCAACCTTAGCAACTGTGATTTGCTGCCTTTGATTTCTTTACAAGCTTTGGGGAGACAGTGCAGTGATCAGCCATAGCTGATATTATTGTTTGCTAAAAATCAGCTATGAACTGGCCGATCACCTTTAAAAGAAATTCAGRACTTGATTTTACCTAAAAGTAGTATTTGGAGTTGTAAAATACTGAATTTTGCTAAGTCCAAAAATATGCAGAACTCATTGCAATACAGTATGACTGCCAGTTTTACAAATAGCATATAATTTGCTGGCATCCAGTTCTCAAACTGAAAGCAAAGTGCTCTTACAGATGTGTGGAAAAAAAAAATCCTGTCACTTCCTTTTGTTTTGAAACAAAAATCTCTCAAGGTGCTTTGCTAAGCTTTATTATATGGGACAGATGCCTGATAATTACAAGTAAAGGAGGTTAATGAAAATGAAAAAGTATTTACATACTATATCCATTCAATGTCTGTTAAGAAAGAAATCCAGACCAACAGCTATTTTTTCATCCTGGATAATTGGAAATAGGGCTGACTCCTACATATTGAAGTCTCTCAAAGAAAATACCTTGCACTTGCTTTTATTGATAACAAAAGGCAGGGAGCTATTTTAGTAGTTCTCCTTCTTGGTTTGGTAATAAGTAACTATACAAAGACCTACTGGATTAAAGTTGAAGAAGTTGAAGTGCCAGTTAAATGGTGTTGTGAGAAGCAATATATAACTGAGGTGGCAAAACTTTTTGGTGTTTTAACAGCTTTTCCCTGCCTTGCACTATCTATATACTCCCTTTCTTATTCATCACATAGTCCAGAAGTTTGACACAGTCTGAAACATCAACAGCTAAATTCCAGTTTTCATTTGACTGAAATGGTACAGTTGGATTTCCACTTTCAGTTCTCTTTGGGATGTTTGGTCCCTGTCTGTGCATCACTGCAGCACAGCATAAAATCAAACTCTGCAGAGCTACTATTTATATTACTATTATTTATTCTGACTCATCCTGCCTAATTATACACATAGGGAAGGAAGCCTTTGCCTTGACTTTGCCTTCTCTTGTAATCTCATATATCCAGTTGGATCACTGAGCTGTTTATCTTCTGGAAGGTTGAGGTTGGTCCATCGGGTTGTAATTGCTTCCAGAGCAGCACAGAATCAGGCTGAGCCATATCCTGGTCTACAGTACACTGCACCAATCTGTACTTGTTCCCTTCATGATGTTGATTTTTCAAATACTCCAGCATGAGCACCAGCAAAAAGTCTTCATAAGATGCATTTTGTTTCTTTTGATTGCATTCTCTAGGAGGGACTGCGAACACTSTGTGTTGCATATAAAAAGCTCACAGCAGAAGAATACAGCAATGTACAGAAGCTGCTTCAGAGTGCAAAGTTGGCCCTTCAGGACCGGGACAAGAAATTGGCAGAAGTGTATGAGAAGATAGAAACAGATTTTATTTTACTTGGTGCTACAGCTGTTGAAGATCGGTTAGTTAGTACATTTCTTAGTTTCTTATATTCAGTGATGATGACAAAATAATTGAAGACTCTTTTTCTGCTTTAGAGATTTATTTGGGAAATCCCTTATTTGAATGAATTCCACACCCTTATCTTATTAAAGTTACCCATGGTAACTTTATAACCTAGTAAGCAAGTAACAATGGTTAAGTGTATAAAAATCAGTGTATTTGAACTATTTACATTGCATGTAATTTATTGATCAGGTTGTAAGCAGAAGTTTTGGAGGAAAGGACTRCAAAATGGGTGTTGAGGAAATGAAGAACCTTTAGGTCTTACAAAGATTCAGAAACATATAGTAGTCCTCTAARCATTTCTGGAGTCACACTTTGGGAAATTCTTAGATCTGATAACTTATATTGAAATTTTTTATTTGTTTATGAAAATATTTCTRAAGACCTCTGAATTTCTCATTGGCAAGCAATCCATCAATGTATGTTGTCAACTGACTTTACAGACTACAAGAAAAAGCTGCTGACACTATTGAAGCACTCCAGAAAGCAGGAATTAAAGTTTGGGTTCTGACAGGAGACAAAATGGAGACTGCTGCAGCTACTTGCTATGCTTGCAAACTCTTCCGAAGAAATACACAATTACTTGAGCTAACCACAAAGAAAATCGAGGAGCAGAGTTTACACGATGTGCTTTTTGACCTAAGGAAAACTGTCCTCAGAGACAATGGCAGCTTAACCAGGGATACCTTCTCAGGGTAAGGAAAAAGTTGGGTTTTCAGAAATGGGCTTCTGTGCATTTTGCAAACAATGAAATAATGACCGATTACCTTAAGAACAGCAATGTGTTTCAGTTTCTGTTGCTAATATGTTAATTATTTTATGGCAATTAAGTGTAARTTTGTGTAGATAAATTTTTCTGTCATGGTTCTTTATCTTGTTTCAGGTACTGCTTTAACTATTAAAAGAGAAATCATAATTGATACTGTATTTACTTTTCCACTGAAAAACTGTTAAAAATAAGCTAACAAGCATTTGTGATACTATTTAAGTTGAGATTTTCTATAACTCAGYCTTACAGCTTAAATCTCTGGACCAGATAACTTTTTAGCTCTCCTTACACTTTATATCCCACTGGTCTTAACAAGAACATTTGTATATTCAGTTAAATAAATAATTTTTTTCCATGTCATCTGTATCACTTTTTGGTTAAGTACCACAGGCCTTACAAGGTGTGATCAAACATGTTTGTTTAACTTCTTGTGCAATGCAAATTTTCTGGATAATACAACTCCTTAGATTTTTTTTTTTTTTTTTTTTTTTTTTTTTTTTTTTTTGCCTTTATCCCCAGAGCTGGAGAATGTACTAAGATAGTAACTGTGGGATTTTTTTTTTTTTTTTTTTTTGCCTTTATCCCCAGAGCTGGAGAATGTACTAAGATAGTAACTGTGGGATTTTGCCCATGTGTTCAAATTCAGGCTGGAAATATTTCACTACAATATACCAAAATTCAGCACATTGCTTGAACTTCATAATTATACTTTTTTTATTTGATATCATTGTGCGCTAATGGMATTGCCCTATTTGTGCCAATGGTAGCAAAATAATGAAAATATCTGTGAACTGTTATTAAATGTAGTTTATAGTATTTTATCTTATGTGCCAAAAGTAGCTTCTGTTCTAGTAGGAAGGGTGGAGATACCTAAAGTACATATTAATGAATATGGTGTTTTTCTCACAAATATTGGTCTTGGTGAAACCATATTTGTTGAAACCCTGTGAACAGTAGTGTATAACCTTGGAATGCTGAAAAGAGAATAAAAATAAACCTCAGTGTACGTTTATACAACACTYACTGTTGACCTGGAGCCTGAGGCTGCTGTGTAATGCAGGCAAATGCAAGGGTGCWCTGAAATAACTTGTTTGGATGCTACAAAAAATGGCTTGTGCAGACCATCTTATCTTTCTTCTCCCATTGTTCAGYATATGACAAAATATGAATAAACTACTTCCTGTGACAGTGGCTACACTCCTAGCAACGCTCAAATTACTACAGGCATACTGTTAATAGATTTTTATGTATAAGACTATTGTAATATTATAGGAAACATATATCATCATTATATTTTAATCTAATAAATAAAAGTAAACATGTATCTGATTTAGCCACTACACTAAAGGCACAATATCCATACTGTTGATGTAGACAGTGGTCTTATCCATACAGGCCAACAGGTTTCCTTTAGGCATTTCCTTCAAGGAACAGTTTTCTTCCTTATATGTAGGACCTTGGGAAAAAAAATCCTTCCTCAGACTACCAAAGGCCATTCCKTTTTACTTTTTTTTCCACTGTGTTATGGAATGTGCTGCAAAATTAACTTTATTCCTGCAGCATGGTTTACCTCATTGCAATTCTTGGAACCTTTCAAACCAAACTGARAAGTCATTAATTATACACTTACACTCACTGGTGAAGTCACTGAGGTATCAGATTTATATATTCAAACTGGTGAAACACTGAATATTTTCAACATAATCCAAATGTCRAAAATGTTGTGAGTATCAGTCTTACAGAAGGCATTTCTTTTAGAAGTGTGTTAATTTTGCAGCATTCTATTCTCATGATTTTTTCATTAATTTGTTTTCACATAATTCTTACTGCCAGATTTTAAATATGTCTGAGAATTTTACACTGACAGTTACTTTATATTTTATCCCCGAACAGACTTTCAACTGATATGCAAGATTATGGTTTAATTATTGATGGAGCAGCATTATCATTAATAATGAAAACAAGACAAGATGGGAGCTCTAGTAACTACAGAGACCGCTTTCTTGAAATTTGTAGGAACTGCAGTGCAGTGTTATGCTGTCGAATGGCACCTCTGCAAAAAGCACAGGTTTGTGTTTAATTTCATAATTGCTTGTTAGCCATGCCCATATTTAAATATGGAAGGTTAATACTCTGTATGACTTACTGTGATAATTTAGGATTCATTTTTGTGTCTTCTGAAATGGAAAAAGTCCAAAAAAAGGGAAAGGGGAGAATTTCTGCTGGCAAGCAATTTAGATAATGGTATGCTAAAACAGCACCCAGCTGTGCACCTGAATTTGATTTATGTACATACTGTTCAAATGTTATGGTTGGTGTATGCTAATATGAACATAATAAATGAACTAACTGTTCTCTTTTTAACCTAACAAGCTTTGAATTGTCTACTCTTTTGACACTACAAGAACCTCTGTTACTTATCACTCTTAATGTAGAGTGATGTTTTTTTCTTCGTTTTTAACGTAAATGGAAAGCCAAGGAAGAAGAATCCAGACAAAACATGTGTGCGCTATCATGTTTAAATATACCTGTTGCATTTATCATTTGTATCAAGTAAAACATGTCCTTCCATTACTGAAACATCTCAAGATAGCTGAAGAACTTTTAAAGGAAACAAGTACTGGAATATGCACTTCTTTTTCCTTTATAATTGTCATGTCTTTTTCTCAGTGCGCAGGTACAGCRTATGTAGCCCTTATTCATATTGTCAAATATATTTAGGCAGCACTATAACTGTCTGGAAGTTTGCAGAAGTTTTTAGTTGCASCTGACTAGGTACCAAATTTACAGAGGTAATAATTTGTAATAGAGAGATTTGAAGTCAAAGTTTTGGACAGTTTATATKTCAATAGTTTTTGCATATGTACAGAGTTCAATATATTTTCTTAAATAATAGGAAAAATGTGCAGCACGGATTGAAAAGCAGAACTTTTTAGTCTTTCATTTCAGGATTTTTTCAAGTTCTACACTCTTGCCTCTGGAGCCCTCTTAATTTATTAATGCACTGGCACAGCATTAAGCCATCTCAACCACATCTTCCATTATTCTACTCTTCCTTCCTCCTGCTTGATCTCTCTCAAAGTAGTTTGGAAGTATTTGAAAAATATGTGCAACAAATACTTTGTAAAATGAAGTGGTCTTTATGCATAGTAGTTRCATTGGGTATTGCTGGTTTTGTGTCCTTTTAGAGAACTTCTCATATAACTGTCTTGGTAATTTTTATGTAATTGTGCACTTACACAAAATAAGGAAACCAYTGCAGAGGAGAGTTTCTAATACTATTTTTTTTCCAGATTGTAAAGTTGATTAAGTTATCAAAAGAACATCCTATCACATTAGCAATTGGTGATGGAGCAAATGATGTCAGTATGATTCTAGAAGCACATGTTGGTATAGGTAAGCCTGTTGTTTAGTATATCAATTCAAGTGAAATGGCAAAAACCATTTATTTCTTAAAAATAGGCAGTCTCAATCAGCTTATATATATTGTAGACAACTTTTAGTGCATTTATCCTAGGAATTGTATGAGATATAGTCATGATTTCCCATKAGATCAATGTCACAGAATCATTATATAATTTTGCAATTAACGGTATCTCTCTAATAGTTCTTTAGTTATTAAATAGTTTCACCTTTCTTTTTTTTTTTTAAGGAGTCATTGGCAAAGAAGGTCGTCAAGCAGCAAGAAACAGTGACTATGCAATACCTAAATTTAAACATTTGAAAAAAATGTTGCTTGTTCATGGGCATTTTTATTACGTTAGAATATCTGAACTTGTGCAATACTTCTTTTATAAGGTAGGATAATGCTTATTCTAATGACATAAATTTCAAAAACTTAAATGGTTATATCTAACTATATACAGTTTGTGCAGCTAATGGTACAAAGCAGAAATAATTTCTCAAGTACCAGATGCAGTGCTGAAATGGGATTACTGTTTTTATTCTGAACATGAAGTGAAATAGCTTTTATKTAGCTACATTCTGTAATAGATGTTACGTTTAAAAACCAAAATTTTTGTCTTAAACTTTTTCATATCGTACAAATTCCATCTCAGACTAGTCTACTTATTTCCAGTACCTTCCAGGTGTTCTCTATAGTGAACTTTTAAATCACATTGGAAATAGTGTTTGAGAATTTAGAAATTTCTGACAATTAAGTTATGCTAAATTCATTAGAAGAATGTAGGTGGAGGAAGTTTATAGTTACCATCCCCCTATTTAGACAGTTTCGTTATTTCTGAGTGTTGGGATCCAATCTAAGTTTTTTGATAAGCAATGGAAGATTGTAGAAAGGAACTGTCACAGGGTAATTCAAGGTTCTAGTGTTAGACTAAGTGTATAATTAGGAGAGGATGGCATTTGGGGTTACAGCGAGAAATATCTGAAAGTTGCTTTACTGAAAACCATGCTAGCCAGAGTATCCATGCTTGCTTATCATGGTTTGCCTTCTCCTGTGGATTGTCCTTCATTTGCTTCGTCTTAACTGAACTGTGCTCCTGGATCCCAAATTTCACTGATGTTGTATTTTCAATTTGTAGCTTTGTAAGATGGCTTTGAAAATATGTAAAGTGGTATTTTCTARCAGAATTACTGCAAGATGTGACTGTTGGTGTTTAATACATGTAGTTTTTTCTACTGTTCTTGCAATGCTCACTATTGCTACTGTTGTAAAATTGTGATATACATATCTATTGTACATAAATTAATACTCACATTTCACTTGACAACGGTCGTTTTGTTTTTCAGAATGTCTGCTTCATTTTTCCTCAGTTTTTATATCAGTTCTTCTGTGGGTTTTCACAACAGGTTAGTTGATCTTTTTCCATCAGTCATGCTTTCTCTTTTGCATTTTTTGTAAAACAAAGGGTCCCCCTGAGAATGTATTGTTAGTTTATACAGAGAACATCACTTTTGGTTCATATGGTTTTCAGTGGCAACTGCAGTTAAGGTACAGCAATCAGTTTTATGAATTATCATAAAAGCAATGTTATTTTCAAAGTCAGGGAATACAGAAATACAATGTTTGGAAATGGCAATGCAAAGTGTAATGTCTGTGGGAAATGTACAGTCAGTTAGATTTAAGCCTACTGGACATGGACAGAGGAAATCCTGAAAGATGAGTAATTGAACTAGTTGTTCATTTGTAGAATCCAGAATGAAAATGAGAAAATRAACTAGTCTTCTCTGAAATGTATGAATTACAAATTTCAGATTAATATTAGTATTCAATTAGTTGAAAAGAAAATATAAAAACTGAATAGTAGAGGAAAAGTGAACTGTTGCTCACCAGAAAAATGCCATCATTCAAGAGAGGATTCATTATTCACCTTCCTAAATTTTTATTTATTTTCTGTTCTCCCTTGTTCTCATCTAATTTGTGCAGAAAATATCTACCTCTTCTTTTTTTTTTTTTTTTTAGTGAGGGAGCAAAAACAAAGGATTGAATGACTAAATTTAGACAGAAAGGGTTTATTTTTTAGTGCTAAATTGAGGGAGAGTTGGATTTCATTGGAGGAAATAGTACAATGTCTTTGGATTCATTGAAAGGAAGCCCCAGGAGGAGTTATAATGGCAAAATTATTTTTGTCTGTTTTGGTTTCCATTTCAAATGACCACTGAAAACTTTGTAGGTTTTTATCAACACTATTAAAATTTAGATATGAAAGCATGTGTTGATGAAAACTTAGCTTAATTTTATCCTTTTACATGATAAATACAATTTGGAATCAAAAAAAGCAGGTTTTGATAGTAATTTTTCCAGTATAAATGATGACCAAAAATGTTTTGGGRTATAAACTGCTTTTTTGTGGAGTAACGTGGCAAGTTTGCAGGCTAGTTACAGTGATGATGCATATGTGAGAAAGCAGTTCCGYGAGTAGAATCAAGGACACATTGGGTTATTTCTTTGTACAGCTCATTGCAGTTACTCACAGCTGAAAACCTCTGTAGGGCTTGTGCTTCTTCACTGAATATCTCCATATTTTTATAGACATGGAGGCGATAAAAGGGGAGGGGAATGTGTGGATGTGTCAGAGAGGAATTTCTGCCTCTACAGGAACCTGCTGTTGAGTTTGGGTAGTTTGGAGTTGGTCTTACAGTTGAAACAATAGGAGGAGCCACTGTGTGCACCAGACTATGAAATGGACTTTTTAGCTGATCTTTTGTCCTCCAGGTGAATGGGATACAAGTGCAGAATTGTGTCCTGTATCAATTAGCAGTTGTTCAGGGACATTTGCCTCCATTCTGAAGAAATATAACTTTATTTTTCTKCAGAAGTTCACACATTCATTTTAARTCAAGTCTTATGCAGAGGATTTAATTTTAAAGTAAGGTTTAATTTTAAATTAAAAGTAGTTAATTTAATTCTTTTTCATCTACAGACTTTATATGATACTGCGTATCTAACACTGTACAATATCTGCTTCACCTCCCTTCCTATCCTCTTGTACAGTCTAATGGAACAACATATCAGTGCAGAAACACTCAAGAGAGAGCCTTCCCTGTACAGGTAAAATCAATTCACTGTGCCCCAAAGTTTCACTGGTTATGGAATGTTTGTCTGTTACAAAGGAAGTCCTCAGGATTTTTGTACCAGAAGGCTACAGTGGAACATGAAATACACTGCAAAAAGAAGGGTTGAAGACCACATGCATGGTCTGCTAAGTATGGCAGATAACCATGTGTTTTTACATGCACATTTACATACCACACCATGCATTTGCCTCAAAGGGAGTGAGAGCAAAATAGAAATCACTGCTCTACTAAATCAGATTATGATTTATTTTAGTATTCTTTATTTCCTCCAACCGGGGGGAGGAATCATGGGGTACAGAAGTATCTTAAAAAAGAAAACATGCTGTTTTTTTCTATATACGTGTTTTATTCTAAAAGAAAGATGACTGAATGTTAAGGCTGTTATATCAGAGGATGTATTCTGTGAAGTGTCCAGCATTGTCCTCTGCATATTGTTGACTCATTTCTGGGCACTGAAATTAACTTGTTTAGGTTCTTAGCCACTTGAAATGCAGTTCTTGCCCATTAACTGCATTTGACCATCTAAATTAAGAATAGTGCCCGGTTTAGATCCTTGTACCTGCAAATTCCGTACRTTTCAGGGTAACAGTAGATAATCAAAGGAAAAGCATTATTTAAAAGTAATTTTAGCTACCCAAATTTTATTCAGAGTTTTACCAATGTAAATGTTTTATATTTTACCTGTGAAATTGAAAAGGAATACAAGAGAATACTGTTGAAACTCAACCCCCATGGTTTTATTTTCTCTTCAATATTTTGAATGTTTTTAATTTTAAAAGGGTAGTTCAGAAGACCTTTCTTGGTTTTTTAAAGCTAGTRGATTATTTGTCAGAAACTTCTGGGCTCTGATACCTAACAGAGCCTGTTGCTGAGCTGTTTTGGATGATAGTGGTTGTTCTGGGAGAGAGGAGGCTATTGTTGGCCACATACAGGTTTGCACTGTTGTTCATCTGTGGGGAGAAGTTACTTTATAGGTCRTCAGACAGTCTTTAAAGTTTGTATGCTGAAAGTACTGGTTGGTAGTAAATGTTTCTGTAAGTCAGGGGCTTCATTTAACTGATTTACTGTGATGTGTTTTATAATAAACTATATGCCAAGTTGATACATTGATCCATTCTGTGGACAAGAATTAAGGTTGTAACATTTAAAGTTTTTTTGTAGTAAGAAAATGCCTGCTAGTATAGAATTCTGTTATTGAGATATCCCTGTATTTTTTGTGGGAAGACATTCAAGAAATCCTATTTGACCTGAAGGTTCAAGTCAAATATAAACCCCTTGCTTTGCATTCCACATAAAATGAATGTTCTATTTTGTTGCAATAGTCTGTATATAAGTATGCTAGAGGAAATAAAGCAAAGTCTCCAGAGACCTCTAGTGTTTCCATTTAATATCTGCAGTGTATCATGATATGCACAACAAGTACTGGAAAAGAGATAACGTCTATAAAAAGATTGAAAAGAACACCGAAACCGCACAGGGGCGTTTGCTATTTTTGAAATAAGCCAAATTACAGGCAGCAATTAAAAGGGCTTAGTAAGAATTAAAGAAAAATAAATAAAGAGGACATTTTGAGGAGGGAGCTAGATTTGAAGTGGTAGACAGTTATAATGTGGAAATATGRTGGTTTTCAAGAAACAGTATAAATGATCTCATTTGTCTGGGATTTTCAAACCTGCTGATAATGAATATGTATTCCTTGTTTCACACAGAGATGTTGCCAAGAATGCTTTGTTGCGCTGGCGTGTATTTATTTATTGGACATTCCTAGGAGTGTTTGATGCTGTGGTATTTTTCTTTGGTGCCTATCTCTTGTTAGACAACACAGTTGTGACCAGCAATGGACAGGTTAGTGTTGCATTTCATCAGTCAATCAATGGTAATTTTTTTTATGCCAGGTGAAATGAACATAGTTTTATTTGTTTTCTTCAATATTTCATGCAAGATGATAACTGTTTTGTGAGTTATGGTGAGATAGATGGGTTATCTGTTTTGCAAAATCGGAACTATGCAATGGAACATACTGTGTATCAGTAAGCAGAAACATAGGATTGGATGCTAATTAGGAGAAATATATAACATAAATTCCAAGTATTACTTCTGAATTTATATACTAACTTTTCAATTTCATGCTTAACATGCATCTGATAAATATCTGTTTAACATATCAAAAGGCTCTTGGTAGAGTAGTTATGAATGATCATAAAAGATCTTAAATATAACAAGCTTTTTAATAGTTTAATTATTTTTGACATATAGCAGCTTAAAATAATCTCTACTTGCTTTGCAGTCACATAAATGCAAATTTTATGAACTTTTGCATTTTATTTATTTTTTCCATTGATATTTTGGTCTATTTTATTTGTGTGCTTTTTTTTCTTTTTGCTACTTGCTTCTCTTCCTATCCTCAGCTAATGACAACCAGCACTCACATGGTAAGACTATTGTGGATTTGTCATGATATCCATTTCATCTTTCACTGTTCTTTAATTAAACTYTTAAAGAGCAGTAAAATATCCCTTAAGCTTATTGTTAGAAATGTTCTTTACAGCTACTCTATTAGTACTTAAAAATAACTTTATACAAAGTATATTGAGGTATATGAGGTATGCTAAAGAGCCATAAACTTTAAAAAGGCTTTTTGCTTCCTTGCATTTTGTTATTCTGTTGTATGCTTCTCTGTAACCTACATTCTTTTGCTGACTCTCTGCTATAGAAGTTTTTTTACAGTTTATTCTATAATGTGCTTTAATGGCTTTAGAAAATACCCTCAAAGTGAGAGACGTAATATAAACTCTACACAATTTTGTTGCCTGTATGCAACATACACGTTTGTTAGAAGTGCAATGTTCAGATATTAAAAAACACCTTTGGGACATCTGTCAGGGAAATGAATTTCTAGTGTGAGAGAGAACACTTGTTAAAAATAATTTTTTTTTAAAGGACAGAATKAATTTCTGTACATTGCAGAATATCTTTTTTTGGTACAATTATGCTCTCTGTTATATGTCCAAAATTCATCATTATGGTCCTGAAAATTAGAGTTAACATACCTGTACAAATTTTGTAAACAGTTTGTATTGCAAATATTCTGACTGGGTTCCTCTCTGAAATTCTAGTTGTCTTCCATTGCACATAGTCAATGTGATTCTAAGGTCTAAAGCGAATTAATACCTAATTTTCAAATTTTGAATGTCTAAGTCTACAATTAGATACCCCTGTTAATACTTGAAGGTAAYGTGTTGCTTGAGGAGACATTCCAAGTCTTGAGTGTCTGTGTTAGCAAATTTGTYGTTGTTGAGCATGCATGCCTGTGTTTATGTATAAAACCTGAGAGATACTGAGCTGCAGTTTTAGATATAAAGACTTGAAAACAGCAAATGTTCAGCAAAAGTCAGAGACCTTTATGTGAATTCATACATTGATGAATGCTAGTACATGTTGATGGTTTCCTAGTTTTTGAATTATGCTTACAYCTGGAAAAAGTGAAGAATTTGAAGGTTTGAAAGGTTTGCTACTGCAACCAAATGTTTTTATGGAACAGGAAAAAGGTAGAAAGCACTAAAGAATATAAAAGAGCTGACAACATCATTAATGCCATAAGTGATAGGAAATGTTACAGGTCAGGTTCCAGATTGTTCAAATGGGTGCTAAGGCAAAAATGTTGAATTTTTATTTCCCCCCACAAATGAACTCATCACTATTATTGCAAAACTAGTAAAAAGTGAAGTCACTATCTTTCAYGTAGAATGATGCCTGTCAGACTAAAATTAACATACCATTAAGYTTGCTTCCAAACACAATTCCCCCAAGATGTTTCTCAGTTCTAAGAAATCCATTTGAAACCGCTTACTGTAGCATGATGTTACTASAATAACAGTAAAGTGTACTTACAATCACTGAGATCTACTTCATAAATGCCTCCCTTTGTCATTTTCTGGTAAGCAAAACTAAGATGCCGAAGGTTTATCTCCTGTTAATTGTTACTAACTTTTGATACTGCTTTGTGTGTATGGTGTTCCACTCTGGATATGTGTCGTGGTTTTGACTGTGCTGAAAGCCAAAAGCACTGCACACACGACGTTCTCTCCCCTCCCCCCACCGAAGAGGGAGAAAGGAGAGTGAAAGCCCAATTAACACGAAAATTTATGGCTTTCAGATAACATAACGTAATTGAGAGAAAGATACGTATGTGCTCCAGAGAATAGTCAGACAGGCTGCATAACTTAAGTTGCAAAATAGATTTATTACTACAAACTACTAAGAATACTACGGCACTGGGGAGGGGAACGGAGACGGGGACAAGTTTACCAGAAGAAAGATAAAAATGGACATTTTAAGACACCTGTTATCCTTTCCAGGACCRWCTCTTTCCCAGGTCCTCCCTCTTCCGCCCCGCACACAAAGGGGKGCAGGAATGAAAGTCTAACACAGATCAAACCACTCATTACAGTTGTTGTCCAGCATCATAGGAGAAGTGTTCTTACAGCTCCAAGCTGTGGGAAGTTTTTTTCCCAAGAACAGTCAGTATGTAACTGCTTATGGYGAGGGAGGATTCCTTTACCTCGTAGGAGAAAAGAAAGAATGTCCTTCAAGGCCAAACTGCGTTGTTTCAGCGGTGTGAGACCGACTATCACAAACCTCCTGGCAGAGCACAGCTTCTTCTAAGCATCCGCTTACTTCAAACGTCGTGGGGGGGCCAAGCCTCTTCTCCCTTTTTGGCTGTTTAGTCCAATCCTCAAAGGCCAGGGTTTTTTTCCTCAGAGCAAGATCGCTCTCTTTTTCTATTCAGGTCTCTCTTTGATGAAATAGTCCTTTTCGAGAACACTTATTCTCTCCATGTTTGAGAACCACAGCACAGCACAGCAACCATCCCATCTTCTCCTTACTGATCTTTGGTCTCCATTTTTTTCTTACATCTCCTCACCCTCCTGCTCTGTTTTTCCCCAGTGCATGATACTAAAACTACATACTAACAACCTAAAGCTACAAAATGGCGRCCGCCCCTATCTTGTTTTGAATTCTTCTTAAATACCAGATAATRCGTCATCACAGAGGTGTWACCAACCTGTGCAATTGGCCCAGGCCTGATGATCAGCCTGTCCATCACCCTCAGAGCCATGATGGATTGGCTCTGAAACACAGGGGGTAGGGCTCCTTCTGCTGAGGAAGAAGGAGACAGCCGCTAGAACTTCTCACAGGAGCCATATTTGTGGTTTCTTGATCCCATCCCCCCACCACCAAAAATCGGACCCAGTAAAACCATGACAATATGAGATCATAATTAGTRTTGCAAAAACATACAGTTAGAAACCAACTACAGAAGAAAGTTAAGAAGAAAAGAAGGCATTGTAGAAGTCATTGCAGATTGCAAATGTCCTCTTAGTTTACCCATAGAATAAAATGTATTTCCTGCGTGATTTTCTTTATCTTAACATTTGATACAGAGTACATTAAATATAATTGTTAAGCTGAGTTGAGGGAGACTAAGTTAAAAGGAACAATAGAATGAGAAATACAAAACAACAGGAAGGAAGATAGGTTAGCAGAGTGCTGAATTGGGACATGGAAGATCAACAAATACAGTCGCAGGATGAGGAGGGGAAGTCTTGGATAGGCTGGGAGCAGAACATGGAAAAATACTTGTTGATAAACYAGATGTTAACAGAATTACAATGATTCATTGCCTGAGGGCATGAGTAGCATCTTGAGCTATCCAGTGCTAAAAAGACTTTGTGAGTTTTTGTCACTCATACCCTTCCATATTGCTTTGCTTACCTCTCTGCATCAAAGTAGCAGCTTTAATGGATCTTGCCCCTGTGCGGTGACCTCACTTTCTGAGTCAATAAGRTGGGTGGATAAGGAGTTTGGTTGTAGACCAAAGCTTTCTGTCTAGCCTACCRGAAAGGGGAAGGTTGTTTCAATTCTTTATTTAATCTAGGAGCTTTTATTGAAAATATGAAAAAATCTGTTCAGTATGCAGTAAATTGACTGACAGATTCTCTGAGAGAAGCTACCTACAATGTGAGAGTATTGTAGAATTTAACTGCGAGAAGCAAGTTGATAAACAGCACGAGCTGAAGTTCCTGATGCAGATTCCTGTCCAGTGTTGGCTTAGAGCACAGAAGATATAATGATGGCATGAACCTATTACATATCAAAGTAAAAGATCAAAATGCTGAAGGTTTTCTGAGTTTCTTCTGGTGTTAGTGTTCAATAAACTCAGTCACATAATGAGTAGTTTTAAAATAGTGAAGTGGTTACTGAGAATAATGAATCTTTCAGCCAGTCATTTATTGGGTTGGGCTTTTTTTCCCATTCCCAGTTGATCACATTATCTTAGCCTAGCTGCCTACTGATTTGTATCCTGTGGCTGGCTGTGTTCTCCATTCAAAATTTTTCACATAACAGCATATTTGTGTGATCAGCTTTCCACATGGAAAGCTCATACCCTGTCATGTAATATTGGGTGAGCTCATACAGAAAAGTTTAGATTGGACATGATCCAGTTCAACTCCCTGCTCTGTACAGGGCTAAGTTAATTCAATTTGCTGAAGGTTTTGTCTAGTCTTTTTCAGGTTTTCAAAGATCCTATAGATGCAGATTCCATAAACTTCCTGCACAACCTATTCCAATGTTTTTCTTCCTTCATGGTGAAAAAAATTCTCACAATACCTAAGAAGGGTATTTCTTGTTTTTGAAGGGAGGTTTGTTCCAGTTCATCTTCGTCATTCTTCTTCAGACATTTGTGGGCAGCTTCTAGATTGTTTCTTAACCTTCCATTCATCAGACTAAGTCTTCTCACCTCTCTTTGCTGACTSCTAACCACCTTGGTTGCCTGCCACTGATCATTTCTAATTTTTTTCACATCACTCATGAACTGAGGGGCCCAAAAYTGAGCAGTGTTCAGGTTCAACCTCACTGTAGCTGAGTAGATGGGAATAACCTTATGTATGTTCCTCCCTTATGTGTAGAGAGAGCACCAGACAGGCTTGTGTTCAGCCTGGAGTCCACATAATGCCACTGCAAATTCCTTCTCAGAGGGGCCCGATATTCACTTCCAATGGCACCACTCGTCCATAGGTGTAAATCTTTGCACTTCCCATATTTAATTCCGTAAGATATCTGTTAGCCTGCTTCTCAAATCAGCAGAGATCCCTATGGATTRAAGCTCTCATTCATTATGTCAGCTGTTCTCTATTTTTATATCACTGGGTAGTTCGCTCATTACATTCTCTGTGTCAACATTGAGCTACTGACCGGGATATTCCACAATTTCTGCCCCAGTTGCTGTTCCTAGTGTGGTTCACTGATTACCAGGAAGCCAACCATCCATGAAGATTGGATGGCCAGTGGTTCAACCAGTTTTCTACTGTGGTCAACTATTTAGCCAGCTCCTGCTTCCTTGTTGTACAAGTATCAAATGCCTTGCTAAATTCAAAATACAGTGCATCCAACTGCTTTTCCTCCTTAAGAACTCCTCAACCTATTGGTCTCACACTGTTGCCTGCTCCTTCCTTTCCTAAGCTTTGCTGTTAAAGGCAAGGAGCAGGTTTTGTTTGTGAAGACTAATATCCAGAGTATTGACTAATTCTGCATTTTCTTTTAAATCTTCCACTAGGTTGTCTTACCACTCCATCAGTGGTCTTGCATTTGTCCTTTAAAACAAGGATATCTGTAAATATCCTTTTTTCCCCCCTTAGACACCCCTCAGTAATCCTTGTTAGAGCTGAGTTTGGTCTGTGATTTGTTCCTCTGCTCTTACGCTGTTTGCTGCCTGCCCACATTGTCATCTCTTGAATGCCTCAGTTTTGCCTTTTTGTCCATGCRGTAACATCCTACTTTGCCAAATGGATCTTCTGCTGAAATTCCATGTCTGYATGGAAGTTGTCTCATTTCTGTATTTGTAAATAACTTCAGGAGGGAGTTAATGAGATCTCAACAGTTCTTTTTCAAAAKAATTCAGATCTCTTGGACCCTTCTCTTTGATGGGTGCAATACCCTGAATTAAACCAAGTCTCTTCTAAAATACAGTGTCCTAACTGTTGCTTACTTTCCCAACATTTCTCTGAATCCTGAACCTGGTTATCTGATAGCTGCTGAAGTCCAAGCAATCCTCTGTGACAATATCCACCCACCACTTGTTCTTCCCTGGATTGGTATTAACGGTCATTTTTGCCATTTGAAAAGTCAAAGTGTTTCTATGCATTATGCAGGTGGGTAGAAAACCAAACACAATTTAAAAGTGTTTTACCTTACAACATATGTAGACATTTTAGTACACCAGATGGTTTTAACATGATTTCTTATTGCTTATCTGTATAAAATGCTGTTGAGCCTCCAAGAAATTGATGCATGCCAAGGACAGCAGAGAAGGGAGATGAGAGAAAAGATGACGTCCAAGGAGATTGATGACATGACTGCAGTTCATTTTTAAATCTCAGTGATTTGTTAATTGTGCTACTCCTGATTTTTTCGAGAAACACCCCTGTGAACTTCAGGTTTAGAGAATTTGGTTGTGGTCTTTTTCTGTCTTCCTGAAATCTGAGATGTGTACACACAAATGCAAGAAACCAAAACACTTTGCACTGGATAGGTCATGTAGGAATTCAGATCTTGTTCAGGTATCAGTTCATGATACAAAGCAATACTAAGCTTTAAGGTGTTTATTCTGAACAATTCACAACATGGTGGACAATATTGCCTATAACTTCTTTGGACCATTTTTTATAGGTGTTTGGAAATTGGACCTTTGGAACAGTGGTGTTTACTGTRCTTGTATTTGTGGTTACATTTAAGGTAAGGTATGCTGTATTTTATCCACTAAAACTTTCTTAAAACTTGTTTTTTAATTATTTCTTACTTATATCAGTTTTTATCATCATGCATTGTTTTATTAGTTTAACTAGAAAGTCTTCTATCTGTGACTTTTTAACTGTGATCAAACTTGAAAGATGTTTTTAGCTAATTCTGTGTAGAATTCTTCCTGTTTTCAAAGGGTATGATTCTTTTTTATCTCCTGCTGGGAATTCTTATTGCTTCTAGATAGTAGTAAGACCATATGATATCTTCTTTTTTCAGCTTGCACTAGATACACACTACTGGACGTGGATAAATCACTTYGTGATCTGGGGATCACTGCTATTCTACATTGTCTTTTCTCTGCTCTGGGGAGGAATTATTTGGTATGAACCCTAATATTAATTGCATTGCAAATGTTATTTCAGTAACATAAAKTCGCTACATTTCACCTTTTTGTCACTGACAGAATTAAATTTWGCCTTTATACAATGCAGAACTCCATTTTAAATGCATCATTAATGCTAATTGCAGTCTCATCTCTTCTTTCAATGAGCGTCTGCTAAAATTTTCTTAAATAAGGATACAAGGAGAGTAATATCAGACCTCCAGCTACCACTGGGTTTATCTCAGTAATGTCAGTCACAAGCAGCCCAAGGGTTGGTTCAGGGAAATGAGGTTGCYTTTCTGAGTCAAAATGGCACAGAATTGGTCACGTCTGTGCAGTTGGTGACTGTCCACCTACCTGCTGGGCTTGTCTTGGAAGCTAGCTGTAGCAGTGAAAACTAGAGACAGGGCGTGGAACTCAGCACTGAAATGTTGTGGATGGCCAAGAGTCCTGTGTTTGAGGTCATTGTTTTGCCTCCTTACATAGCAAAGGAGAGTTACTGTAGATGTCTGAGCACCTACTTGCTCCTGTTGGTAACAAGGTTTTTAGTAAGTAATATAACTCTTGTGCATAGCCAATTTGAAGTATTCGGGTTTTTTGTTTTAAAAGTTCTGTGTACTTGAATCTGAAGTTTTTGGGAAGGAAATCAAGTTGGAACAAGTCCAGTTCCTTACTATGCCTGATTGCCATCAGGAGCTGGAAATTTTGTATCGCACTTGTAGAGCTCAGTTACAAGACCATCTTTTTTTACTGTTTCTGGAGCCATTCTACTTTGTGTATACAAAATCTTGAGRGGCCAGAGAAGGAGGAGGCTAACTATTGCATGGTGATTAAGATGTTTCATTTAATTTAGAGAAAGGATTTGTATTTCAGTGTGTCTTTTGCAAATGAGTAACTACCTTTGAAGTCCTTGGATATTTAGCTTCCTCTTTTTCCTAGTAAGAGCAGATTGCAGTTTCTTCAGCATCAGTTTGCAGAAGTGACATTTTCCCAGATAATGTTTTCCAACCAGCCTTTCTGTGAATTAGAGATGTGACTATGTGTATGTAAGAATGTATTTTAGCTTACTTTTTTTTTTGGAGTGCAAATACTATCAAATTTTGGACACTGTCAGGAAACTGCCCGACTGGTTTTTCACTGCAGTGTTGCTGCAAAATGTTCCTTGATCTTGGCTCTAAGTGGTTTTGGCCTCTGGTTCCTAGTACCATATAGTGATGCATTTTAATGATTGTGCAACTGCATGGCATACAGGGAGACAGGGAAGAGAAGGTAYTGATAGTGTGCTTAGGTAACTGTGTGGTGAGTAGAATGGGGACCATAACATAAAACCATTAGAGATGCTTAGGGGAGCCTGGGAGGTAGGAAAATAGGTATGGTTAACAAGCCTTACTCTGAGGATAGATACGAAGGAGTGTGCCTTAGGAAAGAAGAGGGAACTGGTGAGTCGGATACTAAGAAGAAAGGTGGAAAATACCTGGGGCAAGGTCAGGGTACCTGGGACAGCATAAAGAGTTTAAGATTGAAACTTAGTTTATCTTTGCAAGGGAGTGACACTGTAGCAAGGAGGGGACAGTATGGTGTTTCTTGAAGCCCGGAAGACAAAAGGAAGGTTGTTATCTCCAGTTACGGCATGTTTAGCTCTCCTTTTGAGAAAACTGGGATGGATGAACTCCCACAAACTGGGAAGCTGATCCTGAAGTATTTCATCACYGATATAATTCTTGTATTTAACACTGTCAACCTTTCTTTTGTGTATTGAAGTGTAATAATTATTTAATCTTTTTTTCCTCCCAGGCCTTTTCTCAATTATCAGAGGATGTATTACGTGTTCATGCAAATGCTGTCCAGTGGTCCTGCATGGCTGGGTATAATTCTGCTCATAACTGTCAGCCTTCTTCCAGATGTTCTGAAGAAGGTCTTATGCAGGCAGTTGTGGCCTACAGCAACAGAAAGAATCCAGGTAAACAATATTTTCATTGTGAAGTTAGTTTTTTTTATAATACAAGTATCTAGTAACCAAGTTCAAGGTCAGAGACAAGACTAGAGCAGAGGTTCCCCATCTGTGGTGTCTGAGCAATATGGTGAAAAATGCTGCCTGTTATTTACATGGTGGCGTTAACCTGAATCCTGGGGCAACACCTGTGCCTCTGTACCAGCAACCACGGGGAAATCTGATGAGAATGGTGGGAGACAACTACATGGTTCCACATAATTTCTAAYTTGAGGAGATAAGAAGGGCAAGTGGATTGGGATCTCTGTGAGGGTAGATAAGAGGCACTTACATCTGATAACATACTTTTATACCTGCTACAAAAACATGTGTATTAAAACTTACTCATATCCTATTAACAACTTTTTCCTCTTTTATATTTCAACTTATATTTTGCCTGTTCTGATCCATTATTTGTACATATATATGCCTTGCTGTGCCAGTGAAAAGAGGATTTTAAAATCTGTTTTCTCCTTTAATTTGATCAGCCCAGAAGGAGAAACTGCTGTTTTACTGAAATACAGCCTGATYTTCTAAGGCTGGAGAGGAAGCCAGGTTCTGTGGGAGCCATAGTGCTATGCTGGGGACATAGAAAATGTCTTCTCTATATTAGCCCAGATAAACKTTTATCTATGTTAGAATGTGAAAGACACTAGCTAGAGGCGTTGTACCTTAAACTTTGTTACTGCCATTGCCCTTTTCAGCCCATTAACTGCCATCGGTAGGTTAAAATAATGAGTTACCCACAACAGAAGGGATTAAGTAGCATTTTGATATTTATTTGAGAAGGTACTTTGCATTAAGAGGGAAGGAATAAAGGAACTTTRCTACCAAGGAAAATAAAATTTCCCTTTGGCAAATGTAAAACCCCTTGCTATTGTTCTGTACTGCTAGAATGTACAGCTGTAGAAGTGCCTCACTACAGAAAAGAATWAAGAATAGCAAGAAAGCATTCCCAGGCAGATCAGTATTTAGTGTTTATTCATTTTGAGAYCTTAGATGTTTCTTTTTTATATGTACCACTTGAGGAAGGAGTTGACCTCCATATAGGTTCTGCATAGTTAATTTAAAAGTCTAAAGAGAGCAAATGAGCATAGGCTAAGGTAAAGAAATGAGCTGATAAATAAAAACCCCTAACAAAGGTATTGCAGCATTTCTTACTCACATTTTATATTAGTGCTGGAAAATACATCAATACTAAAACAGACTTTGGGCTCAACACTGGCAATATTCATTTTTTAATATTTAGTAGAAAATTTGTGACTTTTAACCAGTTATATCCCTTGTGTTTCTTCTTCCTTCTCTTTGTTTCTTCTCGTCTTCCAATCCGCTTTGTCTAAATAACTGCTTCCTTGCTTTAAACATAAATGATCTGCTGGGTTGCTTCCTACAATCTTCTGGGGAAATCAGACTAAACATCAGTGCCTTTCTGTTGAGCAGTCCACCATCTTTATGCTTTCTCAGACTTCAAGCAGTCTAAGTTTCTAATGGAACAAAAGGTGACKTTTTTCTGCATTTCTGCATGCTTGGCCATTTCATTCAAAGGACAGTTATAAAGTTTATCATCAGAAGTTACTTACCATACTCATTATCTCCATTAGTGATTCATTTCCACTATATTCTGAGAAATACTTTTTGRTATTGTTTTTCCTTCTGTGTATCTCAAAGATTGTATGAATTGTTGTCACAGTCCATCACTGTCACTCAATTTTTGTCACTGTTCTTGCTGCATTTTACAGAAAGTTTCYGCCTCAAGAATCTACGATTCATATATCCTGATTTTAATCATTGGTCTGTCTGTAGGCGAATGCATGTTGTGTGTCCATTGTACCTGAGTAAGTGGGATACTGGCCACACAAACAAGTGATAATTCTGATTAGGCTGATGGCACTAGCATCATACAGAACATGTGGCACTGGAAACCACTTAAGCTGTCTTTGGAATATATTAAAGTATCTTCCCTGCTGCTAGAAAATGCAGCTGCTTTTTTTTTYYCCAGCATTCACTTTGAAACTGAGCTTTCCTTATGTTCCCTTCTATGAAATTCTGTGCTCTGTTTAGAAAGAAAACAGCTCAAGATCTGCAAGTTTCTGACATTATTTAATGTAAAAGTAGAAGTAAATCTATTTTACTAGATTTTTTTACTAGTAAGTCTAGTAAATCTTGTTTCCCCTACAGTCTGCAAGAAAACAGTCTTTTACTTAATATTCAGAGGCCGTTGGTTTCCATTGTGGAGACTGTTGGATTCCATTGCAGATTTTATATCTTCATTTCTTAAGTGGCTAAGATAAAAAAAATATATTTCCTCCTTCTTTCCCCGTCAAAAATATACAGTCAATAAAATTTACTGTAATTATGTAACTCAGAGGGAAAATACAGTTTTTTCCCCTATTGAAAATTCTGACTAAAATTGTCTCTTAAGTGCCTTAGGATGGGTTTAAACTGAGCTTATAAACAATTACTTTTAAAAAACTGCATTTCTAAAGTTATATTGCTTTTTTTTTGTAACAAAAGGGCTTCTGGAACAATTGAAAAGATTAACATAGGACTAGCAATCATTTCCCAGGTTACTTAATCAGTTCTACTCAGGCAATAAGAATGCATAAAGCCATTGAAGCAATTCTYATACTTCAAAATTTTTCAGTTATTTGAGAGTCACTCCAGTGTGTGGTGAGCAATTGTTTACCATCATTGCCATTCAGATGTTTTGAAACATACCACMTATAGTTCTGGGTTTTTTCAGAGAGCTTTTCAGTGATATATATACACATACAGACATATATGTGTATACACATATATGTACATACAAGTATATGTGTATATTATGTGCATGTATATTGATATATATATATACATATGAACTGTTGTCTTTCTTGGGCTAAAGCATTAATTCTGCAAAAGCTTTGGAGGAATCTGTTGCCTTTTGGTAATTTCGGTCAAAATCTGCTTATTTCTTTTACGTGTAGTCTCTGCAACTGTGGCTCAATGACACAAACTGAATTTTGTGCTTTAACTGGTAATTGTGTAGCTGTGAGGTTTCTTTCAGCTTTTACTTTTAAAAAGCAATAGGACTTTTTTTTATATATATCCAATCTAAATTGATTCTATTTTCTTTTTCTTTATTCTTCTTTCATTAGTAGCAGAAGTCCAGCTGCTCCATTAGGGAAAATATAAATTCAGGTTAAATGATCCTATTTTCCTTTTTRTATTTTTCACTTTGATTGACAGTGTTTCAGCAATGCCAAGTATTTGGTAGCTGAAATACCAGGTGCTTAGTTCCTGACCTGTAAATGACTTCTGCACTTTCATCCCTTTTTAAGAAATCATTTTCTTTTTCTCTTTGTTTTTGACTGATGATTTTTTACTTTGATTTCACTCACTCACAATCTTGGGCCATCAGCTGTGTTATGAGATCTTTACCCTTCACCCGGGGAAGCTCAAAGCGGTCCTTTTGCCTGGGGAAGCCTATCTGGGAAGTMATTTTTCTGTTGCTCGTGGGCTTAGCTGCTGTTGAACAGCTGCACTGGRCGCTCAGAAAMCTGGTCACCAGCAAACTGCTGCCTTTGTCACATGTCAGGCTCCTCCTCAGTGGAAAACAAAGCAATGGATCTTGCTGCTGAAGAATTTGAACCCTGTGGAAGAAGTTTCCTTAGCAACTCCCTGGCCCTCTCTCCCCACAGTGTAATGACTAAGCTGTAAGTCAGCCTTCRTTAGCAGCAGCCCCATCACTTCTGTGTGGGGCACTCCCTTCAGTGTGCCAGTTGTTCTGGGGAKTAGCCAAGTGGGATGTCCACTCCTTAATGTAGGATCTGTTTGGCCTCTTCGTATCAGAGGCACCTCTCCCATTCAGTGCAGGTTTTTATTAGAGGGGCAGAACACACAACCCACAGTACTTAGTTTAGTGCTTTTGAGAGTAAATTTTTAACATAGTTTAAAATAGAATTAAAAACACCCTCAAATGATTAATCTCAGGATCCAGAAATAGAAACCTTGTTTTACACTGGATAACCTTTCCTTTTTAAATCTATCAGAAAATCCATCACTTTTACATAACTTTGCTGTAACAGTTGCATTTGTACCAAATGGTGCAATTCTTTCACATTTCTTGTATTCAGCAAGAGTCTCACTGTTTTTCCTCATCCTTGCAGAAGAGTATGAGACATAAAACAGCCCTAAATGCACTGACGAACAACGATGGGCCACTTCTTGAAGGAAATCTTTCACCTTCCAAGGCATAATTAGATCAAAGCTAGGTAACAGTACTGTACGTGTTGCCAATTTGGATTAATTTCTATTGGTGCTCTTTACAAATCAACTATTTCCTCCAGAGTTTTTGATGTGCTTTATCAGTATTGATACAAAATCATTATGTTTTACTTGGAGAACCTAGTTTTAGCAAGAGATGTTCCTTGCCACAGGTAAGATCTTTTTGTCTCAGCAACTTAATTGTGTAAAGCAAACCAATAAATCGATGTACCTTTTTTCATGTCCTGTAAATACATTGTATTATGTATAGGTGTTGTGTGACATTTCTTCTACAAGAACTGAGGTCTTTATTGCAGCGTGTACTCACATTACACCMCAATGTAGAATACATAAAGTCAGAGCTGATTCCTACCCATGAGCAGTTTATCCACTATCTTTCATGTTTTTGAATACATATATAGACCAAATGCAAATGGTGACATATTTAGATAATTATAGCAAATTACTTGTGAATAGGAGCTTCAGTCAGAAGAGTGGGGCTGTGCATCTGATGGTGTCTRCCAAAATGCTGTGGTCTGTACAGACCAGGGCATTGCTGTGTCACTGCCTCAGATCAAGAGAGAAGTGTCATAGTTTAGCCACGTATCTGAGACAGCAGCATGAGTGGTGAACTAAATTCCCCAAACATTAGGCCAGCAGAATAAAGGTCTCTGCTTTGCATCATCTCCTTGCTATGCCACTGACTACACGAACCAGTAAGAAGGTACACTCTTTACTGTAATGATTCCCACCTGGATGCCATGACTGTTCCAGTCACTTCATGCTCTCCTGACCCCAAAAGCAGCACGTGAGGGATTAAGTGAAAAGTGCAAAGTTAGCAGTATGTGAAAGGACAAGTGTCATGTCCTCTGTATGCTGTAGGCAAGATAGCTGAAGGGTACATTTTATTTGCTTTTAMTAATTCTTAGACAAGTAGTAGAAAACCCCAACTTCCCTGACTAGCTTCAGGCTTGGTAAAGGCCCTTGCTACTGAGCCATGTGTAGAAAATTATTTTTTTTAACTATCTATAGTAAAATGTTTCACTTTCTAGCTGAAAGAATWGGAAAGTTAGTTACCAAACTGTGTGACTACTTCCTCTTACATTTCCAAAGCAAAGTCTGCTAATCTGTTACCTGATGTTTCTGTATTAATGTTGCTATTTGGTCTATATGTGTTTAAAAGAACCCAGATCTCACTGTGGTAAGCAGTTCAGGATTGTGTTTTCTTTAAATAAAGATACTTTAAAAGAGTGTCTTTTTAAGAGAGCTTTCGGATTGCTCTTGGTTATGCAAGAATAGTATTTCAAGCTTGTGCTTGGCATTAAAGTGGAATATTACATCTCAGTCAAAGGTCTGTRATGAATTGTGATTTTGTCCTTTTGCTACTGTGTTCTGTTTCACAGCAAAGAAGGAAGGGCATGATTAAGAATAGAGGATTAACTGGTTTATATAGCATTCACAGAGAGATTGATGAATAACATTGCTTTGAATCATTCTTATAATGCATTTATATGTTAAATGCCATCACAAAACCTCTRTACCTCTGTACCTGGAAATTATATGTGCCTTTAGTGAGAAGAATTTTATAAACTTATTGGGGAAAGTGCTGTACTAGCTTTCTTTCAGTTTGTGCACATGGTCCAGGCTCTTCTCATGTAGTCATGGTGTTCTGTAGTTCTGAGCATTTCCTGAATGGAAGTGCCGATTCTGCCAGAGTGTGGAGTGATACATTTTAATGGACAATTAGACCAACATAATATTGTGCTGTGCAGTATAAATTGCCTGTATAGATACTACACGTAACCTAAGCAAGTCTAAAATTCAGTACTACTTAGAAGTGTATTAAACCTCTGGAATTTTCATCTATTAGCACAAACTGACTGTAAAGAATGCTTTCTCTTTGGAAGTACAGGGGAAAGTACTTGAATTTGTTCTGTCCTAAAATTCTCCATATGAAGTTCAGAGACAAAAAGATGTACTGGGAGAAATTGCAAAAATGAAACATAATGTTTACTTAAAACACTTYGATTTGAAAGCAGGCCTCTGTGTCTTCATCCCTTCTCTAAAGAGTCCATTACCACGTTTAGAAGTTAAAGTCATGCCTRGTTCTGTAGTTCTTAATATAAAACTTATCATCTTGAAACTGGTTGATTGCAAAACAACACGAGGGATTATACTTTCACATGAAACAAATAGCCAGAGTGGTGATCTAGGGAAAGGTATTATTATACTAAGTTGACAATGACCCTATAAAAGAACACAATTATATACTTTTGGTTCCAAGGGTATTTATTTACTGTGTGTTTGTTTCTTTTTTCCCCTTTAATAGAATGCATCAAGGCACTGTCGGGAGCACATCTCAGAATTCACACCTCTTGCCTGTCTGAAAAGCCCAAGATACAGAAGCAGTGACTGCAGCAATTCCCCAGCAAGAAGGTCTAATTCCCATTCTAAAAAAGTGATGTTTACGCAGTGGAAAGGCGTTGATTATTCAGTACTTCCATCTGTCTTTGGCTACTCAAATAAGCATTGCCGTTCCAGTGCAGGCTACCACTACAGTGGGTCAGGTTTGGAAACGKCCATATGACGGAACACCAAGTCAAGCCTTTAAAAACTATGGTTTTGTTTATTTCCTTTTTCAGGAAACAAACACGTCACAGAAATATATTAAACTGTATGTGGCTTTTGCTGTCTGAGTTAGTGTTGAGAGAACCAGGATCAAGAGCTAGAAGTCTGAACCCTTCCAGGCCAATAGGCCTCTTTTTATGTTTTGAACTACTGGAGCAATGAACAATCTGCACAGTCTGGTACTGTGAGACTAGTAGCACTAAAAATTCTCTTCATCCTGTGTCAAGACTTCTGTGCATTTACTACTTCATTTACTACTTCTGTCACCTTTAGTGATTTTCTTTGTTACTTGAAGTGCATAGTTTCAGTCAGTGACCTACATTTTGAGATCAACAGTTTTAATTTTCAGCCAGAAGCAATGATCTCAGTTATCTCAAATGAAAGTCTCCTAAAGCRTATTTAACAAATGTTGATTCTGATTTTCCTCTGTCCTTTTTTCTTTCTTTGCTCTTTCTGTAGAACAAACTGGTGTTTCCTCTGTGCAAATCTGCTTTCAAGAAACACTCTCTAATATTCACTTCCTTGTAAGTGGCCAAATCAGGGCTCTGTATGGTTTCAGTTAGTTTTACTGTAGAAGGTTAGGCAAAAAAATCCTTGAGTAGAGTATGCACATACAATATGAAGTCAAGTTGGCTGTTAAATAAGTAAATATCACCAATGTTGGTATCTACTTATAAACTGAATGTAAGCATTTTGCCTAAAACGTCTTTGAATTCATCAAAGATGCACATTAGCTGATTTTCCCACTTCCTATCCCTGTGATTGTAATATTTATATAGCAGAAAATATTATATATTAAGCTTTTTTGGACACAGTTTGTTGGGTTTTTTTCCTTTAAAAAAAGAAAAGTTGTTTTTTCTGGATGAGTATCTTTTACTATCTTGATTAATTTTTATTTTTTTTTTTGTGTACATGTAGGGTTAGATACTGGCTAACAGGCTTGGTAGATGTATTACAGGGCACACAACTGTTACCTTTTTCAAGCAAACCACGAGGTGGCACACAGCTGTTGACTAACAGTTGAACCACAGCTGGGATATTTGACTGCAAGGATTCTGTTTGAATTACCATAAGAATGACAGCCAACTTGTACTTCTGTTTTCTCTGCTACATTTATGTTACCTTGCAGAAATTCAGCTATTAGCTGTATCCTTGTGTTGTTTCTTCTGTCCAGTGTTTTATTTTGGGGTGCAAAAATATCTGAAGGAATAATCCCATTTCAAACAATTTCAGCCTGGTGGTTAAAACTGGGTAATGGCCATCCTCATTCAATACCTCTATGAGGACATTAGCTAAAAGTTTATTTCAGTGTGAAAACAAAAAATTTGGAATCAGACCTGCAGCATTTATTGGAAAACCTGGTCAAGACATTGTTAGTTGTCTTTCAAGTGGATGAGGGTGGCAGAGAAAAATTATTTCCCTTTTTGTGTTTTGACAAGAAAAAACAGAGACAATGTAAGTTTACCTACTACTTTGCTTTTTAATAAAAGAAAAATTAACTTACGGTTAAATGTTCCTCACAGTATTCTGAGTAGTTTTCGTATTAAACAAACAGTAATTTATTATTAAAATGCCCTGGGTCAAGCAGAGATTGTAAAGTGAGTTATGAAATCTTCAGTATACCAAAGATAACAGAATTTTACAAAGTCTAACAGTGAGCACCACAGACAAATGTTTTGTATCATTTAACATATAGCACTTTTAAGTTTCAAAGAAYGTCCTTATAGCAGTAGCATTTTGAAATACATACACATGTGGGTGTATCTATATGTACTTGCCATTGCAGACTTGAATGTTGGTCAGTTAGAACCGTCCCCTACATAAAACACTGGTGTATATATTTTTAAGAAGTTAATATGGGTATACATTTTATACCAGTAGCAGTGACAAATTTCTTGTGTGTAGTTAACAAATTATTTGTAATGTATTTTTTAGAAATCTTAAAATTGCCTTTGCACTGAAATATTTTTCATACTGTAGCTATTTATAAATCTGTTTTACGCATACATTTGTTAACACACCATTTCTATTTTTTTTTAAGTATATGTTTTGAAGGCTTTTTTTATAACTATAAGTTTKGGCCACCTAAATTTAGCTTAGAGTGGAGTTGTGGCTGAATGTTAAAATTCTAATGAATGTCAAATTAGAAATACAGGTCTGTTGCTCTGTGAGTCTCACCCAAGTTATCAGTGTTTTGTTGGGATTTGTGGTAGCAGCGATTAGAGCGCTGTACTTGCAGGGCTATATTATAACTGCTAGCTTTTTTACTCTATAAAGCCTCCTGCTTTTTTACTTTGTGAGTTCTATCTTTTAGCCTTAAATAAGGAAATTTTTGCTTGATGTTTTTGAAAATGCTGCATTCCTGTTCTGCCTACTAACAAAGCAATTCATTGCAAACTTCATGTAGCCCTGCACTTAGGAATAGTTGACAACACTGTTTAGGCTGAAACATCTACATATGTGTTTGAGAAATTTTAGTTGAACATTTCATTTTTCAGAGGGGAAAAATGCTTGAATTTAAATGGAAGTTTCTGCTTTGATTTAGCAATACTTTTACCTTGGTGCTGTTTGTTTGTTAAAATAGACTGTTGAATGAAACGAACATAAAACATCAACTTGGCTTCACTTGATGTGTTTTTGCTCCAGTCCCTGTTACTATTGCCATGTAAACTTAGTCCACTGCAGTAGGTGTTAACTTGGGAGTTTCACTGCAAAAGATACAAAGATGAAAAAGTAGAAATTAGATCAAAATTGATTAGACTATTTTATTATGGGTGGGACACTGAAAGGAGACAGATTTTTATGTATGGAAAAAAAAAAGAAAGAGGAAAAGTCTAAAAATCTATGTAACCTTCTAACTTGCCTCGTTTAAATTGTTGCAGCTTTAACAGCATAATGTCTCCATAACTGCTTCTATAAATGTCTTGAAACTGGTAAGCGCTAACCAAATGTATCTGAAGACTTAGAAAGTATTTCAAGCTTTTCGGCCACAGAAGCTCATATATTCCTGCAGTGGCTTGTGGCAAAAGATCTTTTTTGTTTTACCATGTACAATAATTGTTTGTTCAGCCACTTAATGTAAAAGCTTACAGTTTACTTTGTTGCTCGTATTAGCCTGTTTGTCTTGACCCAACTGGCTTGCAAAAATAAGAGGAAAAGATAGCTTAATTGAGGACCTGCACTACTTTTCTTTTGGAAGCCAGTGGGATCATTGTGCTCATGCTACTGTCTCTGTTAACAAAGCTTTAATGGAAATTTGTGAAAGTATTACAAAAGTGAAAGCATACATGATTCTACTTTGCAGAATAACCAAAAAAAATCAGTTTATATAGCTTTAATTTTTTACCTTATGAAAATTCACAGCATTTCAATCTTCATTGTCTTGGACATAAATTCTGTGCTATTTACACTTTACATTTTAGATGTTCTTTCATGATCTAATGTAAAGTAGAATCTGCAAAAGTTGCTGTATGGGGCTGGGGGTAGTTAACTGTGCTTTAAACATTAAAGATGTCTGTAGTCATCAGCACCAAATACTGRCAGTTATTTTTAATTGAACAATTATAGGTGCATTTATTTGAAAATAAATCAGCCTTCAAATCTAATGTTCAGATTATCCTATACTACTTCATTTATTTGATTTGAAGAGTCAGTGTGTGAATACATTGCTGTAAAGTTTCTTTTCAGTGCTATTTTTAACTTTTATTTCTGTAGACAACCAAATATAACTTGTTTATATTCAGCCACATTTTGGATCCTTATGTAGAATATATAAGCAGGAGATACAAATCTGCTTGCAATAAATATAAACATTCAAGACTGGTTTAAGTTTGCTCATAAGTAATTACAGTACTTCTAGTATGAATATGAGATGGTTTCATATTAGTCTGTAATAAAATGTAAGAATATAAAGAAAACAGAATGAGTGTTTGATTCTGTTATTGAATATGTTTGTAGTCATGCTAATTTCTTATACTGGAGAGGGTCCAGCAGAGCCCCACAAAAATGATTAAASGACTGGAGCATCTCTCTTACGAGGAGAGGCTGCAGGACCTCTGTCCTTTCAGTCTAAAGAAGAGAAAACTGAGAGGGGATCTCATCACTACGTGTAAATATCTCAAAGGTGGATGTCAAGAGGATGGTGCCAGGCTCTTTTTGTCATTGCCCAGCGACACGATGAAGAGCCGTGGCCATAAACTAAACAACAAGAAATTTCACCTCAACATGAGGAAGAAAAGAACAACTTTACACTGAGGGTGGCAGAGCACTGGAACAGGCTGCCCTGGGGGCTCRTGGAGTCTCCCTCTCTGGAGACATTGAAAACCCACCTGGASATGTTTCTGTGTCATCTGCTATAGGTGACCCTTCCTTGGCCATGGGGGTTGGACTGGCTGATTACCAGAGGTCCCTTCCAATTCTGTAATTCTGCAATTTTCAAAGCGTATATAGGCAGCTAAAAAAAGCAGGCAAACAAAAGGAAATTCAGAGAAGGGCTGGAACAAGASCTGGGGGGCGAGTGGTTGTTCCAAAACTAATAGACATTGGTATCAGTCCAAGAGAGCTTTGTTMCTCCTGCACAGATTGAGTAAGTGCTCAGGTTCTTTCCAAAGTAAACTCACAAGTTACACATGAGAAGGTCTGCTAGATTTCCTTACAGTTTGGCTGTGTGAGGTTTCCAGGGCTATTTCTCGGGGGGTTTTTTGGTTTTTTTTTTGGTTTTTTTTTTTTTGCAATGTTGTCAATTTAAACAACCCAAAATAGAAACAGTGTGCTCTGCCATCTGAGTTGGTAGCAGTGTTCATAGATTCTTGCAGCAGAGGCTGAGTGAACAGAAAGACTGTGATTTATTTGGTGATACAATATTACAGAACTTCCTGCAGTTTTAAAACCATTACAGGCTTCATAGGACATTGGCTCCATCAGGGTGAAGATAGCCCAGAGAGCCTCCATAAAGCAGTTCAGAGTGTCAGGTTTGATACCTCCCTCTGCTGCTCCGAGGAAATGTACAATGCTTAGGTATTTGCTTCTATATTGATTTCACACTTCCCATAATAAAGATTTCAGAGGCATGGATTTATATTTATATGAAGTTTTTATCTAACAATGCAAGAATGCCGTGCCCATCTCTTTTTCGCACATCAAGAACTTCTGTGTTTCTATTGAATGAACTTCTGGAGAAGATAGGTTGAAGGGGCTGTAGAAAAACGGTAGATATTTTTC